ATTTATCAAGATGACTTTTGAGGACTTTCAAAGACTCGAATTTCTTGTCCCGAAGAAAATTTTTTAAAGAAAGAAATTTTTAAAGAAAGATAGTAGTCAGATGGGGCAAGATCGGGAGAATATAGAGGATGAGGAAGAACGTCCCATTCGAAGTCTAACAGCTTCCTACGGATAGACATTGTGACGTGAGGTCTGGCATTATCATGATGGAAAACAATTCCATGTCTGTTGGCCAATTCAGGGCGCTTCCGTGCGATGGCAGTCTTCAGTTCGTCCAGTTGAAGGCTGTACTTCGCCGCGTTGATGGTTTCGTTTGGTTGAAGAAGCTCATAATATACCACGCCCTTAAAATCCCACCAGATATTCAGAAGAATCTTTTTCGCGTGAAGCCCCGGCTTGACCACTGTTTGCGTAGACGCGTCGCTGGTTCCCCACGACTTCTTGCGGCTAACATAATTGTATAGGATCCAACTTTCATCGCCTGTTATGATCCTCTTCAAGAACGGTCCTTTTTGGTGCCGTTGAAGCAGCATATCGCAGACGTTCACACGTTCCAGCAACTGCCGTTCATTCATTTCGTGTGGCACTCACACATCCAGTCGACTTAAGAATCCTAGCTTTTTCAGATGGTCATGCACGGTGGAAACAGACTTGTGCAGAGTGTCGGCAAGTTCTCTAACTGTCACTCGAGGATTTTCGTGCACGAGATCCATAAGAAGCGTTTCATCAACCTCCTGAGGCCGGCCTGAGCGAGCTTGATCTTCCATGTTGAAATCGCCAGCTTCGAATCTTCGATACCATTTTCGAACTGTCTGGTGAGTGACGCAGGCATCTCCATATACTGAGAACATCTCATTCAGGGTCTGCGAAGCCGTGAAGTCACGTTTAAAGCAATATAGCATCACATGACGAAAATGGACTTTTTGGTTCTCCATTTTTCAAACTGATTTTTGACGAAATAGTTGCACTTAGGAAGATCTGCGAAGTTTCCTTAGCGGGCTCATAGATCTGGGAATGTTTGTTAACAAACATAAAATCGTTTAGAGCGCCCTCGTTCTTACTGATTACATAGAAATGTGGAGCGCGCGAAATTTGAAACGAACTTTCCGAACAACCTAATATATTTTTTCTCGATAATTGTATATAAAAATTAAGATGAAGCTATCAAAATGGTATATGGTGACAAGTTAGTTGTTTTAAAGAAATATTGCTTATTCTTCCATTGATCAACAATCATGATGCTCGAATATTTACTATAGATGTGTTGCGCTTGACAGGACAATTCGATATCTCGATTTTTCGAAATCTGTTTGCATTAATAGAGTTTTCTGTACATATACTTGACCACAGAACAGTTTATATATGTTTTCATGCATGTTATCAATATAGTACTTACCAAAACAATTTCGCCAACTACGCTCTTTTCCTCTCTTGGGACGATTAATTTGCACACTCTTTCGCAGATATAGTAGAAAATTTTTCACAAAAAAAGCAAGAATTCTAGTATGATAGAAACAGATATTTTATTATTTGAGAGAATAATATTTTATTATTTGGTATTTTATCGGCCTCACTCATGACTATCTAAAATTTGGATATGTCAAATAAGAATATATTACGACATGAATCTTAAATACGTAACACATAATCGTAAAATATTTGTTTCCATTTTTACAACTTCTTTACAAAATTAATTATGTTCAGTATTGAGTAAAAATTGATATATTGGATTGTATAGTATAAAAGAGAGGACGTCTATATTGGTGTATATTGTACTTGCATTTCAATAGCCCTGGTAAATTCGATTAATAGTTATTATTGTATATGCAATAAAACTGTTCAATAGTATGGAAAAACTATAAGATGAAAAACATAATTCAGGACAGAAGTTATTAATCGATCAAGACAACATCCAGTATACTATTGTAAAGCTTCTTACTTTGTTAAACTTACTGATCATAATTATTATGCTACACAATCTTACGTTCTCGTTTACAAAACAAAATTAAAAGTAGCCTTTACGATTAATCTCGATTTCAATTATCCGATTTTAATTATTATCTATTTAAATGTGTGACATTTATCTGCTATAGTGAATTAACTAAATAGTAAGATAAAAATTTTAATTACCGAATTACAGTTGACAATCTTATTTGCATGGTATCACTGATGTTTATTAGAACTGCTCCTCAATACATCTACGCGATAAATGAAACGAAATGTTGAAATCCTACTGTACAGCCAACAGATATAATAACAGGCCGAGCCTGAAGTAGGAGACTTAAAGCTACTTACGTTATAGGTAACGAGGTGAAGGTGAAATCATTAGCTGCGTTCGGTAGAAAAAACTGCTTACTAAATACTGTAGTGGGGCACGACGTTCGCAATCGAACAACGACTAAGAAGAAGAGAAGTGTCCTAGTCAGAAAGAATTCATTGAAAAGACGTCGTTTCGACGTCGGAAACCAAATATAGAAATTCGGATTGATTCGACGTCGAAACAAGTATAAATGTAGACGTATCTTCGACAACTGTAATTTCAACGTCGAATTAAATAATAAATTTACCGCGTCAAAAAAAAGGATTTGTCCTGAAAGACAAACCATGTTTTAAGTGAAATATACAGGGTTGTTAAAGCGTTTTCGGAACGAAAGTAAATCCGTTCGTGGACGTTCCGAATTTGCCGGTGAATCAGTGTCGCAGGTTAAAGAGCTAGAATCTTTGAAAACTGATTTTCCTTTATTGTTAAATCATTTGACGAGAATCGTCTAGTTACACGACCCGTTTAATTTATATTAATTGACCAGTTGGCCAATTGATATGATTAGTCGAAACATTTCCTTCACCCCGTTTCCCATTTTTCTCAACCCCTACTAAGAAGAATGGAAGGATATATAAGGACAACCACAAACCAGGAAGACTCCCTATCGGAGCTCTTAGCCCTGATGATGCAGCTGCAATGTTTGCGAAACGCCGGCACAAAGCTGAACTCCAACGCGGCATCCATCCGAAAGAAACATATCCTGATTATATCAATGGCGAAAGTCTAAAAACTAGTAGTATATTTTCATATATTAGGTCATTAAATATGAAATGTCCGATTTCCTTAAGTACTAAGTTCGATAATCGATATCTCTGATACTTCACCTTTACAGTTCTTTTTTGTTGTGAAGGTACATCATCATTCTTTCAAACGCATGTTTTGGTTTGTGATTATCTCTCGAATTCTCTTTGTTACAGCAATTTTTGTGTAACCATGGATAATGAACACACAGTACGTCGATAGTTTGAAAAGTTTTGTTCTGGCGATTTTAACTTTGAAAATGAGCCACGTGGGCGACCCGAGACCAAGGTGGATAATGATGAGCTGAAAGCTGTAATGGAAATGGATACATCTCAAACTACGCATGAATTAGTAGCAAAGTTTAACGTTTCTATTCCAACAATATTGGATCACTTGAAACAAATCGGCAAAGTAAAGAAGCTGGATAGATAGATTCCGCATGAATTAAAGGAGCGTTAGAAGAGAAATCGTCTCGAAGCTTACCTTTCTTTACTATCACGACGTAAAAGCGAACCATTTTTACATCGTATTGTTACGTGTGATGAACAACGGATTTTTTTCGACAATTGCAAGTATTCAGAACAATGGTTGGATATAGATGAAGTGCCGAAACACAATATGAAACCGAATATTCACAAAAAAAAGCTAATAGTGTCTGTTTAGTAGCCCAGCGCTAATATTATCCGCTACAGCTTCATGAAACCTGATCAATCGATTACAACGGATGTCTACTGTAACCAACTGGACGATATGATGAAAATACTTGCGATCAAGCAGCCGATATTGATCAATAGAGACAGGCTAATCTTTTTGTAAGATAACGCTCGACCACATGTCGCATAAACAATGTTGCTCAAATTACAGGAGCTGGACCTGGAAACTCTCTGTCACCCATCGTATTCACCAGACCTTGTATCAACTGACTATCACTTCTTCCAGACACTGAACCATTTCTTGCAAGGAAAAATATTAAGTTCTTAAGAAGCTGTGAAAAACATTTTCCACAATTTCATCGTCACCTGCTCTTCAGGCTTTTTCGCTGCTGACATAAATGAACTAGCGTTAAAATGACAGAACTGTGCCGATAGTTTAGGCGCATATATGGATTAGTTGTACTATTTTTAGTTTAAATATAATAAATTAAACATCTGATTCGAAATCGGACATTTCATACTTAATGACCTAATATATTAGATATGTTGATGTTGATGTTACACTCTGTACTCATAGCTGAGAACAAAAGTAGACTCTATGATATTGCTTATCGTTGCTCTCCATATTCAAGAAGAAGGACTTCCTGCACAAGATTATAAATTGCGACGAAAACTGGATTCTCTATGATAATCGGAAGAGGCGAAAATCGTACGTTTATCTGGATGAACCTTCGACCAGTACCAAGATCATATATTCACGCCAAGAAGATGTTGTGGTATATACGATGGGATGTATCAGCAGGGCGCCGTACACTATGAATTGCTCCAACTTGGTGAAACGATCATTGCTCAGCGTTATCAGCAGCGGCTGATTTGTGTTAATGACTGGAGGAAAAAAGGCCTTATATCGGCAAGGGAAGAGGGAAAGTCATTTTGCTTCAGGATAACGCGCAGTCATATGTAGCAAAAATGATTTTGGAAACGAGCATCAACTTGGGCTGGAAAGTTTTATCGCACTCGGCATATTTTTCAGACTTTGTCCTTTTAATTCCTGCAACATCACCTGGCTGATATCCACTTCACTTCTGTCGAGAATGTCGACAAAAGTATTGTTGAGTTTATCAACTCAAAATAACCCTCTTTTTTTCGAAATGAAATTCGACAGCTCCCCGAAAGGTAGCGCAAATATGTAGAAAACGAGGGGGATTATTCCGAAAATTAAGCAATTATCCGACTTTTTATAAATTAATATTAAATTAAAGTTCAGTAAAAAAGGTCGAAAATTCAGTTGCACATTTAATATGTTGAATTAACATATAAACTTATGTTATAAATTTAACATAACAAGTTAAACAAGGTACGGGTTTTAACACAAACATACAAATTTTTTTATTGTGTAGTAATGTTGAACGGTGAACAGAAGCAACTATTGTGCAATCGGTTTAAATCTCACCATTACGTTCCTTACTTATAATACATACTAAATACACACTCTAGAAGACATTTCAATGTTTGTGAAGAGGCTTATTAGTAAATTCGGCATTGATCAATCGTCCATATCGGCATCAAAATGAAAAAGGTCTATTAAACACATTTGTGCCTTGTTAGGAAGAAGTCTGAAATAAAAGTAATAGTTCCATTAAAAAATATGAACGTTGGAACAATCATAGCTATACATATGTTTATATCAAACATGTAATTGTTTTACCAATTTGTTATAAAAGACAGAATAGGACTTCGCATTAATATATTAATATCATTTTGGATCTCTGTAAAATCAGCTGGTTTTTATATATGTTGTAGCTTACAACCTGCTGAACGAAAAATGTAATAAGCTGAAGGTCAAATAATCGATAGTTTTTGCGTAATAGTTAACCAAAAAGGAAAAAATCGGACTAGAGATATCGAAAACTTTATAGGAAAATCTTTATAATGGCATATAATATAATAAAATAACTATACGAGGGCAGTCTGAAAAGTTCTCGGCCTGACACATAGATGCCATTAGAAACTGTCAAACTATAATTGCATTGGAAAGTGACATCCCTGATATACGAGGGTGGTCCGATAAGTACTTAGCCTACAAAAGAAAAACGAAAATTTTGGAAAAGTGGCGATTTATTTCTCAACATAGTCTCCTTTTAGCTCGATACACTTGACCCAGCGATGCTCCAACTTCTTTAACCCGTCTGAAAAATACGTTTTCTCAAAGTCTGCAAAGTAGGCCTCCGTGGCGGCGATGACCTCCTCATTCGACTCAAATTTCTGCCCGGCGAGTGACTTTTTCAAGTTTGGAAACAAAAAGAAGTCGCACGGGGCCAAATCTGGAGAATACGGTGGATGGGGCAGCAGTTCGTAGCCCAATTCGACCAATTTGACCGTGACGAGGACGGAGGTGTGAGCCGGTGCGTTGTCATGGTGGAAGAGCACTTTTTTCTTCGCCAAATGGGGCCGTTTTTTCTGCAATTCGGCGTCGAATCGGCCCAATAATTCGGCATAGTACAGCCCTGTGACCGTTTTGCCCTTCTCTAGGTAGTCGATGTAGATCACACCTTGTGAATCCCAGAAAACGGTGGTCATCACCTTTCCGGCCGATAGGACAGTCTTCGCCTTCTTCGGAGCACGTTCGCCGGGTGAAGTCCACTGTTTCGACTGTTCCTTGGTCTCTGGTGTGTACCAGTGGATCCATGTTTCGTCGACAGTCACGAAACGACGCAGAAACTCCTTCGGATTGCGCTTAAACAGCGTCGAACACTGCTCTGAAGTGGTCTCACGGTTGCGCTTGTTGTCCGGGTGAGCAAACGCGGCACCCATCGCGCCGACAGCTTTCTCATGCCCAAAATTTCATGCAGGATATGACCCACGCGGTCTTTTGAGATGCCTACTGTCTCAGCTATCTCGCGCACCTTCAATCGGCGGTCTGCCAATACGAGATCGTGGATTTTTGTCATGTTATCCTCCGTGGTAGCCGTTTTCGGGGCACCTGGGCGTGGCTCATCAAAAACCGACGTGCGACCACGTTGAAACTCGTTAAACCAATTTTTGACGGTCGCCATCGAAGGAGAAGAGTCACCGTACACAGCATCCAAGCGCTCTTTGATTTCGCTGCGCGATTTCCCTTCCAAAAACAAGAATCGAATCACCGACCGATATTGCTCTTTTTCCATTTTTCTAAAATCCGCGGACACGCCCACTTCCACACGCGGTCAAAACAAAACTACGAGTCCGATTCGGCTGAAATTTCGACAGTAGCCGTCTACGAGAATGTACTACACGATAGTAAATTTCTCTTGCGATAGTGGCGCCATCGGGCGGTGAGGCTAAGTATTTATCGGACCGCCCTCGTAAACCCATGTAAAGTTTTATTTCGATCTGTCAAGTCATTCGAGTAGTCATCAGTTTAATATTGACGTGTCATTGTCTTTTGTAAAATGGAAAAAATTGAATATCGTGCAGTGATTAAATTCTTTGTTTTGGATGGTTTAACACCAACAGAAATTCATCCAAAATTGTTAAAAGTGTATAAGGATGCATCACCTTCACTTTTCACTGTGAAGAAATGGGCTGCTCTTTTTAAATATGGTCGTATAAGCCTCGAAGATGATCCACGCGAAGGTTGTCCAAAAACTGCTACAACACTACAAAACATTCAACAAGTTCAGGATATGGTGTTAGATAATCGGCGAGTGAAAATGCGTGAAATAGCTGAGGTCATAGGCATCTCAAAAGAACGAATTAGAAATATTTTGCATGAAGAATTACATATGAAAAAGCTTTGTGCAAGATGCGTGCCGCATTTGCTAACAATTGCGCCAAAAACGCATTCGAATGCGTATTTCTCAAGCGTGTTTGGATCGTTTTAAGCAAAATAAAATGGATTTCAAGCGTCGTTTCATAACTGTTGATGAAACTTAAATCCACCACTATACACCAGAGCGAAGAGAACAGTCGAAACAATGGATTGAAGCCGGTGAAAGTGCACCAAAGAAGGCAAAGACGGTCCCATCAACAGAAAAGGTTATAGTATTATAACGTTTTATAAAAGGTTATAGTATTATAACGTTTTATAAAAGGTTATAGTATTATAACGTTTTATAAAAGGTTATAGTATTATAAAAGTCTTTTAGGATTACAAAGGTGTTTTGTCGATCGATTATCTTCAGAAAGATAAAACGATTAATTCTGAATATTATTGTAACCTTTTGGACCTATTGGATGCAAAAATTCGTGAGAAAAAACTTGCTTTAAAGAAAAAAAGAATCGTTTTCCATCAAGACAATGCACATATTCACACAAGTGTTTTGACAATGGCAAAATTTAACGAATTAAGGTACGAATTGCTTGAACATCCAGTGTATTCACCAGATTTGGCTCCCTCTGACTATTATCTGTTTCCAAACCTGAAAAAATTCCTGGCTGGAAGCGTTTTACATCAAATGACGAAGCTATTGCAGCCGTGGATGGATATTTTGCAGACCTTCCGGAATCACACTTTAATAATGGTATTGAATTATTGGAAAAACGTTGGAGTAAATGTATTGGAGTTTCAGGAGATTGTATTGAAAAATAAAACATATTTCACGGCAAAAAAAATTTCTTTCATTGTTAGGCCGAGAACTTTTCAGACTGCCTACGTATATATATCTTATATATTGTTGCGCTCACTCTCGCACTCGCGTTTGCACTCAGGTAAATGAAAACACTCGCGTAAGAATAACAAGCTTTACTATTTACAGCGCAGCTCGCACAAGCTTTAAACAATAATTCTCTAACCTACAATTCTCGCGTCTATCTACGATGACAGCTTGCCGGAGACTCTCTGTCAGCTGTTGTTGTTTTCTTCTTATCGATTTTCCGTCGTCCAGACAATCTTCGTTCAGTCAAAATCAGCATCAGATGCCTAAAGCCCGTGTCACATTATGGGTTGAAGATCAAGGATTGCGGATTGAAGATTAGATTTCAACGAATCAACGAACTTCGGTTTTGATTTGTTTCATTCTGATTGGTCAAATCTTAATCTTCAATCCGCAACCCTTGATCTTCAATCCGTAGTGTGATACGGGCTTAAGGCTCACGGACAATGGACGCTGTCACAAACTTTGTAGCTCGGACACAATAATTATATATAATTATATATAATTATATATAGTACCATTGAAATACCTACCATGTTTATGTCGTTGGTTTTGGGTTATGCCAAGAGTAGAGATATTATGTTAGATATTCCGTAACAATGTATCACGTTGTACATAAGTCATATCTTAAATGGTTATATATAATGTATATATGAGTTATATATAATGTATGACTATAATGACTATATATGGTTATATATAATGTATATATGAGACCATAATATGTATTAACAAATGGAGCGTATATAGTATTTCTCCTAGAATCAATAAAAATAATGATTTTTCTGTAAAGTTTCGATGTACTTCAGCTCAATTTTTTTCTCTTTGATTGACTATTTGTAACGAGGGACAAGGATTCCCTTATCCCCATTACGACCGTGTCGGCGACGACGATCAGTCGCCGCACGGCAGAACACCGCCGCTACTGTCCCTGCACCGCACCGTCCATCAGTGCCGCGGCACTAAGGCTCGAGCGCCGAATTATTACGAGCAATCGCTCGTCCGCTCGGGAAAAATCGGGAACGGGATACGAAAAGGGATAATCCTAAAATTCGCATGCGCGAATTTCGTGGAATTGGGGGATAACTCCTTCTGAGTTGCGCGTACCCCCGTTCGCGAAATTAAAGGGTAAATAACTCGTTCTCTTGACGAGATCGTGAGCAGAGCGGCATCGTCTCGGAGTGAGACAGTCTTCAGAGCACAGCTCCACGGCTAGGAGAGGCACCAGACCAGAAGACCGAGTAGGACTGAGGAGATCAGTAAAGCGAACAGAGAGTCCGGAAAGCACGGCCAAACGCCGGTGAGTAATTCTCCAAGTACTATATCGCATCACCGGGAGAATATTACAAGACCCGGCGGCACGTGCTAAATGGACGCCCAGCGTTCCATCGATCCGATCCGCGATTTCCAAATACTCATCCGTCGACGTTAGGCAGTTAGCCGCCACGCCGAATTAGAATAAATTCCTGTTGCGAGAGAACGGCAGCAGTTAGCCACCGTCTCCGAATTTCTAAGTGCTCGTCCGTCCGCGTTAGGCAGCAGTTAGCCGCCACGCGGAATTAGAATAAGTCTCTGTGAGAGAACGGCAGCAGTTAACCACCGTCTCCAAATTTCTAAGTGCTCGTCCGTCCGCGTAAAGACCGTATCACACTAGCGACTCGCGGCTGCGACTGCGACTGCGATTGCGACTGCGATTTCTAATTTTCCAATCACACTTGCGATTGGCGATCGGGGCTGCGGCTAAATATTGTTAACATACTGTCACACGTACAACCCCAGAGAAGGGGTTTACATTCTACGAGATCTATTAAATAATAGTCTATCTCTTTATTAAATTGGCTCGACATTTAAAAAAAAATATGTAACACATAAAACAACACTAGATATAACCTTATTCTAATGATCACCGACTTCTACATACTATTAAATAAATGTGATTATGACGAGCGTGATTATCACGTGATTATACGGAGTTCTGTGATTGGTTGCGACTGCGGCTGCGACTCGAAAAATGGACAGCCGTCCAAACGATAGTCGCGAGTCACAGCCGCGAGTCGCTGCTTTCTGATTGGACGAGGAAGAGTCGCAATCGCAATCACAGCCGCAGTCGCAGTTGCGAGTCGCTAGTGTGATACGGCTATTAGGCAGCAGTTAGCCGCCACGCGGAATTAGAATAAGTTTCTGTTACAAGAGACAGCAGCATTTAGCCACCGTCCCTGAAATTTCTAAGCACTTATCCGTCCGAGCGAATATCATCACGGATCATATAAGTCGAGAAAATCCGGTATACTAGAAGAATATTATTATTTACCGACGTCTCTTTCGAACGTACTAATACTGAATATTGATCACCCGCGAGTTTGTTTCTAAACAATCAAAGCGACCGAGTATTATCACGGTTCTTATAACTCGAGCAATTCAGAGGTTAGCGCGAGAATATTATTATTTATCGGCGTCTCTTTCGAACGTACTAATACTGAATATCCCCGGATTATCGTTAAAGGTTCCGGTCGCAAGTCGTTCGCGATAGTTATAAGATCCCTGAGAGTATTGTTAACAGTGCCGCGCGTTCGTCATTAGCAATATTGCTCCTATTTAGCAATACGTTATTGATATCCGCGGTCGCGAAACTGGTATGACACTTATCAACGTCACCTGAGTCTTGCTCAAATTTCCGGACGCGAGCCGTTTACAACATAGAAAAGTCTACCAGATATTGTCAAGATCACGGGACGCGAGTCGTTATCTATCAGACGCGGATGTAATTTGTACGACGCACAGCCGGTTAAAAGTGTGACTAGCCCATCTGCAACATCTTATGATAATTATTTCCGAACGAGAGCAGGTAGTTGCGGCGCTCATAAATTGTCTCGTTTGTCTTCTTCCATCATTTCGAGTTACCAGAAATCGCGTGCATTTATTGTTGCCGCCGGCAAAGAGCGGCCGACCCTCATCAACCGTTGACAGATCTCGAGCACGTTGTCTGTCAAAAATCCGTGGCACGAAAATTTATAAACACTTCCCGGTGCGAATTCGAAGCTGCTTCACGAAATTTAGCGAGGCCGTCAGCGTGAGCTGTATCAGATAGCCGTTTTTCTTACGCGGACAAGTTTATAGCGAATAAGGAGACAAAAGCAAAACGAAGTGAGGCCGATCAAAAAACCAGAAGAACCCATCGGCAGAGCAGAGCGAAATTAAGATTTGAAATCAATTAATCCTTCCCAACAATCCCGCAGCGAACACCCGTCCGTCGGTTCGCGGCAAGAGAGCACGGCCGACAGCGGGAGGCCGATCAAGACGAACCGAACAGAGACCTCCGACCCGCGACTCGTCACACTCGCGAGGATGGAACGAGGAGAGACGAACGGCGGGAGGGCGGAGCGTTACATATTACTCAAAAGCTGTCTATTATTTGCCTTTGAGCCTAATATATTTTTCGTTCAGCAGGTCATTAGCTACAACATACATCAAAACTATTCCTATTAGCCTGTTTCATCGAGATCCAAAATCATATTTACGAGGGCTGTTTGATCAGTGACATAGAAACAAAAGAAATTTCATGCCAAATCGACTTATTTTTCGACAATTCACTTTTACAATTTCCTTTTGGTTCGAATTTCTTTAAACCTTCCAAAAAATACAATTCTTCACTCTGCAAAATAGGCATTTGTTCCAGCGCGATCATCTCCTCGCGACCATTTGGCCATGGCAGACATATGAACTAGTTCATTGTCGTAGGAAAAGAAAATTTTTTCCTTTGCCAGATGAAGCCGCTTTTCTATCGATTCAGCGTGAAATCAGTCCAATAAGGAGGAATAATATAAGGACGTTTGTCCTTTTTCCAAGTAGTCGATAAAGATTATGCCATGCGAATCTCAGAAAATTTTGGACATAACTTTTTCTGTTGATGAAACCGTTTTCGTCTTTTTCGCAGTCCGTTCGCTAGGAGAAATCCATTGTTTCGATTGCTTTCTCGTTTCTAGAGATGGATCCATGATTCATAAACAGCTACATATCATCATAAAAACTCTATTGGATAGCGTTTAACATGTCCAAACACTGCTTCGAAATAGTGACGCGATTCCGTTTCTGATCAACTGTGAGCAAATGCGCTAGTTATCATATCGATAGCTTTTTTATGCCGGAATGTTCATACAGAATATGAAAAATATGTTCGTCTGAGATGTTTACCATCTTAGCAATCTCTTATATCTTTACTCGACAGTCGTCCGACACAATATCATGGATTTTATTGACTGTTTCTTCAGTTGTGACTTCACTCGAACATCCTGAGCACTCAATATCATTCGTGCTTGTACGATAACGACGAAATTCAATGATCCACTTGTGAATTATTCTATGCGACGGAGCAGAATTCCCACAATATTTTTTTAGTTTCCCTCCAGTTTCTTAATAGCTTTTCCATCCAAAATATAGTGCTTCATCTGCACACGAATTCATTTTTTCTATTGTAACAAAGACACATAATCTTATCCGCTTTCGAACGCTGTCAAAAAGTTTCTACTTCACAGTTCTACTTGAAATTTTGTGAGTATATTCAAATAAGATGGCAAATATTACAAATAAAAATGGATGTACGATTTGAGCGCCATTCTTTGTCAGAATTAGTGATCAAACAGCCTCGTAATTAGTCCCGGTTCCTTACACTTAAAACTTAGTGTATTACGGTTACATTTGCAATTATGTTTCTAACCTTATAATCGAGAATACCGGCAGCCAGAATGAAGGAAAAACCTTTTCTATGAAACCTCGTCTCTGTGCATCGATAATCAAAGAAGCAGCTTCCCGCGGTGAATAACGTCCAAACAGACTTGGAAATCTGTTATTTAGGAAAATGATATTACAAGTACATGTTTACTGATTCAGAAAAAATAAATACAACCTGGAGTGGTGATAATGATATGTATAAATTTTTGGATATTATTTTAGTTTATCCCATTCAGATCTTGATTAATGATAATAGAGAGTAAAATTAATTGGGTTATTTATCACTAGAAGCAATTAGAAATATCAGCATTAAAAATAATATTTTAATGTTTTGTGACGGTGTAAATGTGATGTAAGAAAATACTTAACTATGATAAAAAATGTCGATTTTCTGATTGATAATGTATGAAATAGAGAAATTATTTTATACAGCTTTTGTATAAAATTTAATATATTATAACTATCACTATACGCTAACGCAATTATAAATTATTTACTATATGCATAATAGTATTAAAAAGATACATCCCATTCAGATCTTACCTTATGTTTTTGGTCAAATTGGTAGTCACTAAACCCGGGAGAATGGTAGTAAATTTAACAGAAGACTTTCCTTTAGTATACATACGTAGTTCTTCGCTAATACTCTCCATAAGTGCTGCAATTTGATGATTGTTCGTTATAATAAACATTAAGCAAATAATAAAGTAGAAATTGAGTTTATTAGAAACTCATTAAAAGAATAAAACTCAAAAATCTCATAAAAAATGAAACAAAAATATCCTGCACTATTTTTATATACGTTTCTGTATTATCGTAAGAAGTTGGACAACACAGTACATTGTTTGCATTATCACGTTCTTTTCCAATAATATTTATTATTGCTAACATTATATTGTTAAGACATAATCAATAAAGCAAAGACATGTTTTCTAGATTACTTATCAGAATTTGTTTCATTGTATTGCACGGATTTTTGCCCAAGAGTTTTAAATATATATCTCTTTGTAATTTGTCGTGGTTGCGTTAGCAATGTAATGTTACAATTTAAGCAAATAGTTATGAAACTGTATCATTTACAGAGATTTAAAAAAAAACGTGTCTGCAAAAGATGTTATTGTGCAAAAAATCTCAAAAAATTATAGAATGTCACAAATGGATCAAAAATAACTTTCAATTAGTTTTTATCTCTCTTTATTCAAATATTTGCAAATTATGAAAAAATATTGAAAACTAGTTTAATGTAGACAAATATATACAGAGTACCTGGTAATTAGCTGCCAACCCGAAGTGTGAAGATTGGGTCAAGACAAACATAAAAGTCCTATATAATTTTGCGAGATTCGCAATAATTATCGAGTTATTAATTACAGAATCTGACGAGTGAGCGTACGCTGAGAAGGATGATTGGAGAAGCGTCGCGACTTCTCGGAATACAACGCAGCCCAGTCGACCCAGCAATTGTTGGCGGCGTGCGGAGAGATGTACCAGGTGTGGCGGTTAATAATTCTTAATTTTTTTAAGAGATGGCGCTGGAAACAAGGATTGGTTCACAGTCTAACCTCTTATGTCATTTTGTTGCTATGATAGTACCTTTCAAAACGCCATTGATGTTTAAATGATTTCGGGTTAGCGTCATATTTTTTTCGTGTGATAAACATGTCGAGTTTCAAGCCAAATAAAGAGCATTTGCGGCACGTACTGCTTTTCTTGTTCAATCAAAAGAGAAACGCGAGTGAAAGCCGTCGTATACTTGTGGAAACTTACAGTGACAATGTCCTAACGCATGACGCTTGTGTGCGTTGGTTTAAACGATTCAAAAGTGGTGATTTTGACTTGAAAGACAAAGAACGTCCAGGTCAACCGAAAAAATTTCAAGATGCCGAATTGCAAGCATTGTTGGACGAAGACGATACGCAAACTCAACAACAAATGACAGAGAGGTTAAATGTTGGTCGCCGAATCATTTGTGATCGTCTGCATGCCATGGGAAAAATCCAGAAAGCAGGAAAATGGATACCACATAAATTGAACAACAGACAGATGGAAAAACGAAAAACGGTGTGCGAAGTTTTGCTTTCTCGGCATAAAAGAAAGACTTTTTTGCATCGTGACTGGAGACGAAAAATGGATATATTTCGAGAACTCAAAGCTCAGAAAATCATGGGTTAACCCAGGACAATCATCAACATCGACCGCAAGACCGAATCGCTTGGAAGGAAGACAATGCTGTGCATCTGGTGGGATCAGAAGGGTGTCGTGTACCATGAGTTTCTGAAACTAGGTGGAACAGTTGATATCGTTCGCTACCGTCAACAAATGATCAATTTGAACCATGCATTGATCGAAAAGCGACCAGAATGGGCTACAAGACACGGAAAAGTAATTTTGCAGCACGACAACGCCCCATCACACACAGCGAAAGCGGTCAAAGACACCATTTCTATACTTGGCTGGGAACTCTTGCCTCACCCGCCATATTCACCAGACTTGGCCCCTTCCGACTATCACTTGTTTTTATCGATGTCTCACGCACTCTTCATGAAACATTTCAACAATTACGGAGATGTCGAAAAATGGCTTGATGATTGGATCACCTCAAAAGATGTACGGTTTTTCTGGGAGGGCTTCCACAAATTGCCAGAGAGATGGGAAAAATGTATAACTAGCGATGGCGCATACTTTGAATAAACTATTTTTTACTTTTCTCCTAATTTAAACGTGTTCTTTTTAAGAAAAATTTAAAAATTATTAACCGTCCCACCTGGTAAGTACAGCGAGATAAAACGGCGAATAGTAGCGCGTTGTCATTCCCCTCGCCGCGCACCAGCAACAGTTTCTGAATCGACTAGGCCGCGCTATGGCCTGAACAGCTGCAACGCTTTTCTAATCATTTATGTCGGCATGTTCCCATTCCTCAGATTTCTGTCATTAATAACTCAATAATTATATTTCGTGCCTCGTTCTCTAGATTACAGTGTAGTACTCCCTTCGAGCCATTAGATGTCACCAGTGCTGCAAAAATGTGCCCGCGCACATTTTCACAGCAATCACAGCATGGAGGATCACAGCATGGATGGGACGCTTCCCCTCGCACGCTGTGCGAGGGGAAGCGTCTCCTCCATGCGCCTTCACGCACACAACGCTGCTGCTCCGCCTATCGATGTGAAGCCTCGTCGCCTCACGCCAGCCTCGCCGAGCGAGAAAGAGAAACAGAATGAAATAAAGAAATAGAAAATGAGAAAAAGAAAGAGAATGATCTTCGCTCCTTCTCGGTCCTTCTCGCCCCGACTCAACTGCGTTAACGCGCGTCGGAGCGTATTTTGGCTTTCTCGGCGTGGATCTGAGTCGTGAGCGCGATTATGATATATCGTCGCTGCCGTGAAAAGATCCCCTATGTAAATTTTCTTATCAAATCGAGATGTTTACATCAATATACTATATATATAGTATATTCACAATTTTATTCTATATATAATGACACAAGTATGTTACAATCAGAAAACATGCACATAGGTTTTTTTACGGCAGCGACGATTTTTGACAAAATATGAAATAAATATAAGGCGAAAATTTAATATAACGTGCCGGTACGTCGCCCGGAGCGAAAGTAACATACTGGCAATTTCCTAACGAACGTTCTAAGTCTTTATAAAAAACTTTAAATCCGTTCGTTTATCGTTATGTTCATGGAATGAATGCGGAACTGATATTATCTCTTGAAGCTCAGAGTGGTCGTGGAAACGCATCTGGTTATGTACCCATCGACAAAATTCCAATCATCGTGGATAATCGCCATCTTCCAAACTTTGAGTCAAACGGATATGGTACGGATGGAATTTGGAATATCTCAAAACTCAATTGGCTGTGGATTTTGGAACACCATACCTTTGTTCAATAATGCGTGTTAAAAGGTGTGGATCCATTCCAATAACGGCCCTAACGCTCAACAAAATATGCTCCCTTGGTCCAATTTTTCGCTTGCTTCGGCTCAAGAACCCGCGTTCAGCTCGGCGTGTCAGTTTGCGGAAGTAGTTTCTGGTGCAATAAATGCGGAAACAGATTTTCGGAACAATTTTTCACACAGACTATTTTTCACAATATTCACAGGTACTTTAAGATTATTATTGTGTATTATCATTTGTTTATGGGTAAGCTCAATGTCTGGACCGTAATTCATTTGTGTCGTGACGCGTCGTGACCTTTTTTACTTCGATAGAGTTCTCTTCTCAGATGAGGCAAAATTTGATAACATGGGAAGCGTTAATCTGCATAACGCTCATTATTACGCCCAAGAAAATCCGAATTGGCGAAGAGATTATCGCACACAAAGGCGTTGGAGTGTGAATGTCTGGGCGGGTGTAGTTGAAGACCATCTGGTGGGGCCAATCTTTTACGAGCAAAATTTAAATGGACGACTGTATTTGGAAATTTTGGAGAATGAGATACCACCATTGCTACAAGATATCCCTCTAGATCTGCGACAGGTTATGGGGTTTCAACAAGATGGAGCTCTGTCACATCGTGTTCTACCTGTCAGGAGGTACCTCAATGGTAGATATCCGAATCGATGGATTGGTATCGGCAGTCCGGTTCATGAATGGCCGCCTAGATCACCGGATCTCACACCTCTCGATTATTTCCTCTGGGGAGCAGTAAAGGCAAAAGTTTACGCCCAAGCACCGACAACACGAGAAAACATACAACAAAGGATCCGAGCAGCATTTCAATCCATTACGGTCCAGACATTGAGGGAGGTTCAAGCCAGTTTTCGCGAGAGGGTGCAAATGTGCATTGCACAGAATTGGCACCAGATTGAGCACTTGATGTCATAGATCGAGTTCAATAATCAATCAATCGGCACTTTTCAAGGCCAATGATGTGCAAAATCCCATCGGCGACCTCCATGTGATGCACATCGAGTGATGCTAATGCCGAGGGTACTGGACATGATGAGATGAAAGATTTTTTCCAAACATTGGCGGAAAAAAGTGCACGATCAACTATGCGAAAATTCGAGTGAATTCCTTGCAGCATTCCAAGAACTTTTTGTCTTCTGCAATTTCCCCCCAAACCCCACCATTCTCGAGTAAAAAATTCAGAAAGTTTGAAAATTTCAATTTTGGAGACTGAATAAGTGAAATTAGTTTGCATTATAAAAAAAAATGCTTCAGACAAAAGTTTCATTTTTTTTACGTAGAATCGATTGCCGATGTGAAAAATAGGGGTTCCCATTTAAGAAAAAAAAGTTGACCTTGAATAACCTTGAACCCTTCACCAGGTCAAAATTGTTGATGGCATCGAATGTCCCCCTTAGAACTGAACAACATTTGTCTGACATTTTTTTCTGGAAAATATCCTCGAATTTTATTCAGCCGGCCGGATTAAAATGGGACACCCTGTATAAGTTTACTGGCAGGGAGAGTATCGACCAAGCATTTATAAAAAGAAAAGTATCAGACGAAGCTATCAGAGATAATACTAGCGTCGTTATCTGAGGCTACACTAGTGCAATATGAATCGGCCTTATGCCTCTGGTGGATGTTTTGCAAGAAATCGAGAAAATTATTTTTTAAACCGTCAGTAAATAAGGTTCTTAGTTTCTTAACAGAGAGTTTTGAAAATGAAGCATCCTATGGAACCCTGACCACATATAGAAGTGCAATATCTTTGATATCTAGTAATAAGATAGGAGAAAATGGACTCGTACGTAGATTTTTAAGAGGTGTGTACAACAAGAGGCCACTAAGGCCCAGGTATTCGCATATATGGGATGTTTCAATAGTTTTGGACTATCTAGAAAAACTGTATCCATTTGAAGCACTCTCAATCAGTCAATTGACGCAAAAAACAGTTACGTTATTAGCCTTATGCACGGCACATAGAACACAAACTTTAGCCAGTATCAAAGTGACGAATGTTTATAAAACAGGGAGCAACATTCATATCAAAATAGACAATAGAATTAAAACTTAGGGTCCAGGACGTTTCCAATCTTTGTTAATACTTCCTGAATTTAAAGAAAAACCGAGTTTGTGTATTGCAACACTGCTCCGAAGATATTTACAAGTTACAGAAAACTTAAGAAATTAGCAAAACAGTTTATTCATAGCCACAAAGAAACCCTTCTCTGCAGAATCTCTGTAGGATTCTCTGTAGGATCACAGACTATAGCGAGTTGGATTAAAAATGTCCTGCAAAATAGTGGTATTGATATTTCCATATTCAAGGCGCACTCAACAAGACATACGGCTACTTCCGCAGCATTTGCGAAAGGCGTAGGACTTGACACAATTAAGAGAGCAGCGGGTTGGACACAAAAATCGCAAGTCCTTGCCAAATTTTACAACAGGCCCATAGTAAAAAATGATAGTTTTGCGGATATTATCTTATGATGTAAGATTTAAATTGTGGTCGTGATTATAAATCGATTATAAGGAAAATGTTTAATTTATAGATGAATGTATTCTAGATTCTCTAGTTCTTTTTGTTTTCTTGGATCAGAGATCCCAGAAATATATACATGTATAAATATACTCTGAGTGATTAGAATCTCTAAAATTGCTGTTTCTCTAAAAGCTATAATGTAATCTGGAGAACGAGGCGCGAAATATAATTGAACAGTCGAACGAACTTACCTGTAAGTGAAGTTCGGCTGCAATTATATGAAGGGCCTCGTTCGAAAGATTACATTCCCTCCCGAAGAAATTTCAAAAAATTTCTTCACCCAGATATACCCTATACAGCAATTTCAGCTTCACTCTAAAATATGTGATGAACGTGGAGCATGGGACGACCAGGAGAGGAAGCCTTTTTCCTCTAAACCGATGTGACATCTAGCGACTCGAAGGGAGTACTACACTGTAATCTTTCGAACGAAGCCCTTCATATAATTGCAGCCGAACTTCACTTATAAGTAAATTCATTCGAATGTTCAATTATTATGAATTTCGCAAAACGGTATGGGACTTTCATGTTTGCCTTAACCCAATCTACCTTCACACTTCGACTTGGCAGCTAATTACCGGACATCCTATATTTACTGGGTAGCGTATCAGAAAACCATCAATTTTATTGATAACACAGATAAATCTTATTACCTCGTACTGCACTTTTCGAAGGGCAGTAAAGCGTCCCATATTGGCCGGCACACAGTGCTAATACTGATGAAATTGCTACCACATGACCATGATTCCTTTCGATCATGTTCGGTAAGAATGCTTTCATCGTCTGCAAATAATATTATTTTATTGTATATATTATTTCGTTTGTTGAATATGTTCGTCTTTATCTTTCAATTAACATAATAATTGTAATCAATATATTGTCCCAGCAAACATAATGTAACACGCTTGTTAGTTGTAATTTTCTAATGAACAATGTAACTGTTACATAACACGTATGTTATATAATAGTTACATTGAACATTATATAACAATTAATTACAGAAACCCACTAAGCAAATTGACGGCAAACTGCGTACAAATTTGCAGCATATTCGATAAAAACTCCATACCAAAACCACCTGTGTCCACATTCAGCTCGTGTTTTGGCGTCAATGTCGGGTAACTTGTAGCAACTTTGCAGCATAAGCTACACGAATTTTGCTGCACGTAACATAGCGCTTTACGTATTGTCGCAGCAAGGTTTGCGTGGTGTTTGTTACAAATTTGCTGTAAGTTAGCCGACAGCAAGCTATGTTATATATTTGGCGGCAGTTTGGCAGCAGAATTTGATAACACAGATCCTGCATCAAATTTGTTATTCATTTTCCATAAAAAATTGATAGCAAACTTTGCTCGAAATTTGCGTGGGTTTGGCTATCTGGGATATTATAACTAACAGGCATCTTACATATCACATTATGTTTGCCGGGATAGCTGTCACTGGAAATAATATAAATTACTTTCGTAATTTTTTCATATCATTTTAATATAATTAAAATTTTAAATTTGTAAATTAAATTTGGAAATTTGCGAATTATCATTTAATTTGTAAATTTTATCTTCTCCGTTTTCTCTTATATAAACATAATACTCGCCCAATAATGTGCCATGAAATTGACATTTATAACTTTGGAGATTTCATCAGTGTTATAATTCTCGAATGTTTGAATTGGTGCAATGCCGGCATTGTTGACTAAAATAGTGACGTCGCCAACTTCCTTTCTTACTTTTTCGGCTGTCTTGAAAACTTCATCTTTGTCTGATACATCGCAGCTGTAAATCGAAACAAATACGAATGGATTTCGAGAAATGATAGAATTATGTTATGTATGTGCGTACAGGGAAATATTTTATTATTTCGTTTAAAGGAAGCTGTGACAACGTACCGATAACCATATACCGAACTTTCGCTTATTTTTTTTATCTCGTCCACTGTTTGTTCGTTGATTTCTTTATTGATATCCCAACATACTACGGTCGCTCCTAAAGACGCATAACCAATTGCTAATTCTCTCCCAATTCCTTGACCTGCACCGGTTACCTGTGACGATACAGAATAATGAACAATATATTTTTTTCTTTTTCTTAATTTAGTTAGTTTCATAATATATAGAAGTTTACCACATTTGTGTCTTTAGAGTTTTTGCAACATATTTCGTACTCAATTAGAAAATTTATCTAGTGAACATTATTGAAAGATCAAATTTTTCTATTTCCTTTTATATTGGGTTAGGTAACCCTTGTATTGCTCCTTTATATTCTTTAGCTGATTTAAATCAAAGAGTATGTTTGGGATTATGTGTTTTCAGTTGGCCCTAAGAGCCGTTTTAACAAATGTTACTGAATCAATAATAAGATTTTTGTATTGCAATTTATACACTGTATATTGTGATGAGCTTTTATCAGAACACTTGTCCTACCGGCATGTGACTGTAACCACCTGGTTAATAGCTATAACTACATCTTCTTTGGAAACACTTTTATAATAGTGAGTGATAATATTTGAGGAGTACTCATCGTAATAAAATAAAACGTTATAACGAATATTAGGATAGTTTAAAAAAGGATCAGCGTTAAAATAGATGTAGACGTGAAGTCTCAGAAACTCGAAGATCTACGGCTCAGGAACAAGAGATGTCAGCACGAGGTTCAGAATCGCAGCATCCGAATGCCACAGAAGAGCGGCGGTAATGAGGTGATCAGCGGCGTGTTGTCTCAGGAAGCGGAGGACGGGACTCAGGAACAGGAGACGTCAGATGCGAAATTCAGGATCGCAGCATCCGAATGCCACAGAAGAGCGGCGGTGAAAAATAGAACAAATAGTTCCCCCAAACGCTCGTTTAAGCTAATGTAATGGGCAAGAATCTATAAGCAATGTAACTCCCGAGTGCTAGGATTCTCGCGCTAGCTGGCCGATCAAGAACCATGAGCTAAAAGCTCTTGAGCGCCTTAACTCGCGCTGTGTAGCCGGCAGAGGACCTTGAGCTGTAAGCTCCCAAGTGTGTAAGATTCTAGAGTACCAGAATGTATGACCACAGAAAACGATGCGTATTCTTCGAGAGTTAGAGAATATCTGAAAAAGGCAGCAATTTTTAGAACAAGAGAATCCCTTTAGAGTTGTTTACTCGTTTCTGTGCAACGAGAGTGTTCTGCTAAGAAAAACGTTATGAAAGTACGGGATTCAATTTTATTTTTTATACACTGGGTGACTTTAAAGAATTATTTTTTAACAACAAATTAAATTGTTGTGTATTTTCTTTGCAGATATTAAGGGTAGATCTAAGACGTGTAGTGCGAGTAAAAACCGGGAAATATGATGTTCCTGCGCGAAAGTAACGGATTTTTCATAACGTGTGTAATATACGATTTGAAAATTATTTTTCAATTCCGAGAGTACTTTCAGTGAATCAAACGATCCTTGCCAACGATTATAAAATATTAAGAAAAGATTTTTTATAATAATATGAAAGAGTATTGAAAATTTCTCTTCGCTTTGTAGCATTTTATTTAATAAATTGTTACGTGAAAGGTATAAACTGAAAAACGAAATAGGGAAATGCCTTAACAAAGCTTTAAAAATATTGCCTAAAATAAGTGTGTGTAATACATAAACAGGAAGTTCATTCCTATAAATCGGACGATTCTTATGGCGTTTGCTATATGATAAAAAGTTGCAGTATGATAAAAAATTACAATTAAAATATTATCTGTTTAATATAAACCATGTACAGTAATAAAAATTTTCAAAATATTTTTATTATTATTTAAATCTGGAGTGAAGAAAATCTTATACACATTAAAACATGTATCCAACAGTGATAGAGACCGCGCTGAATTATTCGTCATATATACGTTTAATTATATGTCATACATTCTAACATGTAGTTGCGAATAATATTTGAATAAATTAGTTATATGCTGGTATGCAAATGAACTAGACTAAAACAAGAACAGGAAAATCCACTTTTTCTTTAACAGTTTGTGTGGATGTTGTGTCAAAAGAACTTATTGATGTCTACGTTAATCTTAATAAAAGTGGCTGTCCTTGGAATATGGCATCAACATTACAAGAAAAATGTTACGTTATTTATTATGTCCGATTGACGTGAACATTGTAGATATGCAGTTTATTGAAATTGCCACGACATTTCCATCGCGAACGTTCAATCGTATTCGATCTGTCATCAATTTAACATTTCCTTTTATTATAGAAGATTCCAGTAATGCAATTCTATTCCGGAAAGTTGAGATATCTAATTGTCCATGCGCCGCGACAAATCTAAATATTCGAACAATATGATTGTGGGACATGATGGTATCACAAGTGCTGTTTAAAAACAGCCGAAATTTTCGTTACATTTGAATTGGGCTGCTTTACACTAATCTTTATAGCGCGAGATATGAAGGAGCAAGGGCTTAGTAATTTAATTAAATAAAGAAATATTTCAACATGATACAAACATGGTGAAATGGAAACCGTTTTGCTTTCCAGTGTACATACACTTGAACACAGAACGGTTTACACATATTTTCGTGCATGTTACCAATAGAGTACTTACTAAAACGATTTCGCCAACTACGCTCTTTTCCTCTCTTGGGACGATTAATCTGTACACTCCTTCGCAGATATAGTAGAAGATTTTTAATATGAGAAACAAGAATTCTGGTATGTTGGAGAGAAGTATTTTATTATTTAGTGTTTTGTCGACCTCACTCATGACTACCTAAAATTTGAATGTTTCGAATAAAAATATGCTATTAGATGAATCACTAATACTTGACATATAATTGTAAAATATTTGTTTTCATTTAAAAAATTTTTTTACAAAATTAACTATGTTACTCAGTACTCAGCAAAAATTGATGTATTGGTAATATGATATAGAGGAACGGACGTCTATATTGGTGTATATTGTACTTACATTTCAATAAATCGTAAATTCGATTAATAATGTTATTATTGTGTTGTATAATAAAACTGTTTAATACTATGGCAAGACTATGAGATGAATAGCGTAATTTAGGAGGAAAGTTATTAACCGATCAAGACAACGACCAGTATATTGTAAAACTTTTATTTTATGCTTTGCTTTATAGTTTGTTAAACTTATTGATCATAATTATTACGCTACAATCTTACGTTCTCGTTTATAAAACCAATAAGATTAAAAGTAGCTTATATGGTAAATCTCGATTTCAATTACAATTACAGTTTCAATTTTAATTATTATCTATTTAAACGTGTAATATTTATTTGCTATAGTGAATTAACTAACTGGCAGGATAAAACTTTAATTACCTGGTTACAACTGGCAATCTTGCTTGATGTATTATCGATGTTATCAGAACTGCTTCACAATCCACTTACGTGACGAATGAAAAGAAGTGTGAAAATCTTATCGTACATTCAACAGATATAATAAAAATAGGTCGAGCATGAAGTGGGAGACTTGAAAGTGCTTACATTATAGATAATGAGATAAGCGCCGGTTTAATCCGTTCGGTGGCCCCTGGGCCACCACACATAGAGGGGCACCTTACATATTGGAGCAAAAGAAAGAAGTCTCAACCGCAAAACACACAATACTTTTCAAGAGAATACAATATGATGAATACAATATGAATACATTTTTATTGCATTGTCACCACATAACAATTACATGCATTTACGTCTCATTTTCTTTGATACATACTCATTAACGATGTCATCGAAGTTTATATTCTCTAATAATGCATTCTCTATGTACATAACGCTGTATTCGTTCAGTTTTTTCTGGCTTAGAGTACTACGGTGATCGTTTTTAATCACAGACAGTCGAGAAAAAGATCGTTCTCCACTTCAATTACTTGGTAATATTGTTAAAAATATGCGCATGACTATTTCGATGTTTGGAAAAGTTCCAAACAGCTTTTCTACATTCAGTAATTCGTACATTTTTCTTATTGATCTTAATTCATTGTCTAACTTAGCTCTTGGTTCTAAATAAGACTTGAAGTGCATGAATTCTGATACGATACAACTTTTGTCAAAATCAGTTGGATAATGATCGCATAGTTTGTCGCAATTTATCTTTACATCTTCTTCGCTTATCTCTAAAATATTTGAAATAAATCCAAATCGACTATAAATAGTTTAATAATTGCCACTTCTACGAGTCAGTTCCACTGATAATTTGTCTGTAATAGATATAAAAACTTCTATTTTAAATTTTTCTTTCCCTCGCAAAACTATTGCATCTGTTGATTTATCGAAAAATGAAAGTCTAGTGCTGATTTTTCAAGTGCGTTTATTACTGTCCTTGTAATTCCTATCTTTAACTAATTTTTTCGCTTCCTGCTCATAATTTTCAAATTTAGTTCTGAAACTCTGAATATACTTTTCTAATGACGTTAACAAATCTACAACTACAGATAAGTCAATACTTTGTCTTTGTATTTTCAGACGTGCTATTTATACGACATAAAATATCATTCCAAAAATACTCGAGAAAGCTATCTCTAATTCTTTCATTTTATTACTCAAACACATAGTTTCATGCCTAGTTTCCATAGACTGCTGCTCATTATTAATTATTATTTCTAGCGCATCTTCAATTTTATTGTAATGCTGCACACGTTGAAAGTGGTAGTGGCGCAAATTGTTCTCGCGTAATGTATGTCGCACCAGATAACGCGGAACACCCAATACAGACGCCACCTTCCGCGTGCTGTTGCCGGGATCTCTATTAAATTCTTTTAAAATGCGCTCTTCTAAGTTCACATTGCGTAGTCTTGCACCTTCTTCTCGTGTACGACGAAAAACGAATCCCGTCTCCCTTACTCTCACAATGCACGAAAGAATCCTTTTTCGAGAGGGTCTGTCGCGCGCGGGAAATATTTGTGCGTATAAACGCTCCGCGGCAAGTGCGTTTTCACCTACGTAATAATCCGTACGTTATAATCATATCCGCGTATTCACTCGCGGTAAACATTATTGCACGATTTTTCCACATTATAACTTATAACTTATAACTAAGTTATTGCTCGAGGTTGTATCGTACACTGAGGCCGTGTCCTCAGTCACATTCCACGAGTTTGCTAAAAACAATTGATAATCGACGAAGACGGCGTAAAGAGAATCGCTGTATGATAGACGTCGGCGATTTTTCAAAGAGGTATTTCTCAAGATGTGATACGATAGATGTGGCGGCTTATGCTTTTGACGCTTTGACACCGCCAGCGCGCGGCGAGACAATGATGAACGCGCCGTCGTATGGAAACAGTGCCCTGTTATAAAAATCTAGCCTACACATCTCTGTTCAGAGTTTATATCTGGGAACATTCGTCAAATGTGTCCGATGCTCTAGTTATAAAATTTGAAACTCTGTGCTAACAAATCTCCGGTAAAACAAAGCAACTCGAAGCATTCCTGCTTTAAAACCTTGAAACCTACATCCTCCTAGTCCGAATCCATATGTACCCTACCAGTCAAACAATCGAAGTATGAAACTCAAAAGGGTTTCGAGTTGGTTACTAAATAACCCGCCACCATCTTTTCACCGGTCATCATAAAATTTTATTTCAACCTAAGCTTTATGACATTCTGACTCTTCCGGCTGACCGAAACACATGCTTCGCATTCGTACGTATTTCTCTACCCCGTAAAATCTTCTTGCATTCCTACAAGAACCTACCACCACTGCACTTTTCATACCTAACCTATTCGGCCAATCACGACATCTGTCCAAAACTATGAGACACATCCACTCTCCACCCCTTATTCCATCTATACTTAAAGATCCATGTCTTCAACAACAAACCGTCTCCTCCCACTAGATCTTCTTAACCTCACCCTTAATTTCTAATGGCTAAGACTTTTTCCCACTAAAGTCGATCAGAACCAATAATTAAAAATACTAATCAGATCTTCAACGACATTAGTTTCTCCTTAGGATTTCACCCCGTCTCCATGGCCCATTTCTTTCTTTCATAGGTCCATCTTGGTATCTCCTGCCTCCGAATATTTCTATAAAAATCGCGACAATTTGCCTCCGGGCGCAGTTTTTCCACAATTTCTCTACAGATTTTCCACAGTTTTTCCTCAGCAGTTGTTCCGCAGTTTTTTTTCAGCACTTTTTTCCGCAGTTTTTTCCGCAGATCTTTCACAGTCCTTTCCGTAGTTTTTCCTCAGCAGTTTCTCTGCAGTTTTTTCTCAGTTTTTTTCTACGATCTTTATTTCTTTTACGTCATTGAGAAACTATTCTGCAATATAACTTGTGTACAATTAAGCTTGGAAAACCGTAAACAATCCAGCAAAACACAGCAGCCTAAGAAGTCAACTTCCTATATAGAAGCCGGTTTGAACGATCAGTTCTTCTATTTAGGGCCTTTTTGTCGCTTCTTCATCTCTGTCAAGACAATACCTTAACTCTCCAAATCAGTGAATTATCTCTTTCTTTTTTTTCTTATTTAATTATAATTTCAATTTGTTGCGGAAGAGAAATCATCGGAAGAGAAATCTTATTCTTCTCTTTGTTTCTTCTCTGGATCTTTTTCCCTTCCCCACCATTGAATTCCCTATTTTCTACTATGTGGTACACACTCCGTTACACAACATATACGCTACTGACGTTTGTTATGAACATGTATAATTTTATACCGCTTATGAGAACTTACTATATAGAACCTCGTTCCGGCAATATTTGTTAAAGTCATTTTAAATTTGCTCTTAAATTAACTCCAGTAAAATGTGCGTTAATTTTCTATAATTTATATTAACCCTTATCGGACGTTAGCTTTTTATACGTGATTCTCACTAGGTTGTAGTTGGTTTCGGTAAATATGCGAAAAATTTTCAGTATTATAAGAATAACATTTTTGTTAAAAATTATTTACTTTTTGAAGGAGTATTATAAATATATGAGTTTCAAATAATTATTTATAAGTTTTTAATGTATGATATTTTTTGGAACAATCTCCAACATGAAGGAATGATTTTCTGTTGCACAGAAGTATACTGTTGTTTTTCTTCCTCCAGGCAGCTTACGATTAGAACCTACTAAGCAGTCATTATGTTTTCCTTTAGCATCAAGTTGCAAGATATGTAGTTTTCCATCTAATCTCTTCTCATTGTCTGTTGTTGATGGCGTTCCATATCGCGCAGTTTCACCTTCACGTAAATTCCCAATTAGTGACATAACTAATTTCCGAATAAAGTTTATATGAGACATTGGTTTACTGTTGTTATGTTTACAATCAGCTTTATACAGAATATAAGAATTCAAGGAGGATACTTCAATTCCCCAGAAAAAACTTTCCGCCACCATTTTAATGATTTGCGTAAAAAACAATACATAGATCCAAATTGATCTGCACGGTCCACTCCGCCCATAAATTTGTTATAATTCAATATCACTTCAGGTTTCTTAAGCTGTACCTGATAGCCACCACGTGTCATTCTTGATACAGTTTTCATTGACCCAGTATCATATGAACTAAGTATGGTAATAATTCGTTTGTCTCGCCATGATAAAGCTAACAGCTTACTTTTTCTTGAACGGAATCTGATAACAGTCCTAATTTTAGAAGTCAGTTTTCTTATTTATCTTGGCAGAAATTTTCTATCACTTCTTATTGTATCCGTTAAATAGCATTTCATTTTAAGCAATTCTTCAGCCAGTGGAACACTGGTATAGTATCTGTCGACATAAAGATGATATCCTTCGGAATTAGGGATTGATTCGAGTAGACTGTTTTACAAATGCAAAACGATCCTTGCACTGACAGGAAGCTCGGGATGAATTAAAGACTCCGACGTAACAGATCCAAAATAGGGCAATATCGAATACACATATCCAGTATTTGAATCTGCCAAAACATACATTCGTATTCCCCATTTAGTCGGTTTATTGGGGCTGTAAGTTAAACAACTGAATCTTCCTTTGAACGGCACTACAGCTTCATCCACACATATTTCTTTTCTGGGAACAAAGTTTTGTCTAAATTTTAAATCAATATAGTCCAGAAAGTTTTTGACTTTCGAAAATCTTGTTATTGGATAGCTATTATCGTTCAGATTTTGATGTAAATGGAGCATCTAAAAAATTTGAAAAAAAACGCTTCCTCTTAAAAATCTTAGCGAAAAATGGCATATTGCACGTGAAGTCGTTGAAAAAATAATCTTTTATGTCACTTAAATAGATTGTACCCATATTAAAAATCACACCAAAAAAAGCAAGCATTTCCTCATACGAAATATTTTTCCAATTTTGTCAAACTGATCAAACTGATCTGGCGGATAATTCTTTCTTTGCAATTTGCTCGTTCGCATATAAGTTTGTTTGTGTTATAATTTCCGTTATGAGTTCGTTAGTAATAAATTTTTTGAAATAATCTATAGGCTGCTGAACATTTCCAAAAATTTGGCGATTGATATTTGTAAAAGGAATTCTACTAGGGAGACCATCATCATCACTCTCGATTTCAATCCAATCATCGTCTGAGTTATCGACATTTTCTATTTCTACATCATTTTCTTCTTCACTTGAATATTTTATAGGCATAACTTTTCTTTTCTTAGGATGTAATAAGATGTGACTGCTACTCTCATCACTAGAATCCAAATCACTTTGAGAATTGTTTTCAAAACATTCACTGCCACTATCACTATCGAAATTTATAAAATTTTCTTTATTCATTTTTGAGCTCAATATATTAAAAATTGAGTACAAAAGGCAGTGATATATCACTAGAGATGTCAATTGCTCCGTTACTGATGCCTCTTAACTGACAAGGCAATCGTGCCCGCATTTCACAGAGAGCGAGTTTCGACAAGTTCCGTCTTGTCATCTCCCACATGACGTACGACCGCAGCGACAAAATACTGTTGTCACGTGAGAGGTGACTTACGACCGATAAGGGTTAATTTCATTTTATAGTTTAAATCACATTCCCCCCTTTCCAATTCATCCCCGATTCCAACTATCAACTCGCGATCCAATCCCAGGTAAAGAGATTTAATTCTCTGACCTAAAAATGGACCACCCGCCGTACGTCGCAATCAGAGTAAACGGACCCTTCTAGTCCCTGACCTATCGCGCATACCTAAGTACGTGCGGAACTTGCAAGCGCGAGTACACGTTGCGTTCTCCTCCAGGACGTAACAGGAAGTTGCAATAAATATTTATACTGTATTTCTGGTCGCTTAATACCTTTGCAGAAACGATATTTTGTAGAAACACGGGTAGAATATAGTACATAAAACTTATAAATATTTCTATACCTTTATCTCTAATATCCAATTCCTACCAAACTTTTAAACGTAAGAAAGAAATTAAGAAATTTTATGAAGCAAGAAAATATCTCAATCAGAACCATAACGTTGATTAGATGTTAAAATGGTCGTTGGATCAATGTTAATTCAACTCTCATCAACGTCGAATCAACGTTGTGGTTCTGACTGGAATGTTGTATTATTTATCTCCTCAACTATCACTCTTATTTATCCTATTTAAATCCGTAATGTTTATTTCTCAGTTTCACTTTTTTAAACATATTTTTAATTCAATGAGCTCAATTCCTGTCATAAACAGTCAAAAATTTGTCATAACGATCACAGTGCAAAGTTAGTTACACTCGTCATATTTTATACATAATTGGAAACATTGTAAACATCATTATCAACAGTAGGAAGTTCATTATTAACAGTAGTGTAGAAAGCGAGGGGAATTACTTTGAAAATTAGGTAACTATTCGACTTTTTATAAATTAATATCAAAGTTCAGTAAAAAAGAGTCGAGAATTAAGTTGTGCATTTAATATGTAGAATTAACACATGGGTTTGTATTAGAAATTTAACAAAACAAGTTAAATAAGATACGGTCTTAACACAAACACAAATTTTTTATCGTGCAATAATTGAACGGCAAACAAAAGCAACTACTAGCGCAATCGATTTAAACCTCGCCACTACGTTCTCTACTTATAATAAATACTAAATACACATTCTGGAGAACATTTCAATGCTTGCGAAGAAGCTTACTAGTAAGTCCGGTATTATTCAATTGTCTGCAACGGCATCAACATCAAAAAAGTCTACTAAACACATTTGTGCCTTGTCAGGAAGAAGTCTAAAATAAAAGCAATAGTTTTATTATAAAACATAAATGTTAGAACAATCATAGCTATATATTTATATCATACATGTAATTATTTTATTTGATATGAAAGACAGAATAAGAGACTCCGCAATAATTATACAGGATGTCCGGTAATTAGCTACCAACCCGAAGGTAGATTGGGTTAAGATAAACATAAAAGTCCTATACCGTTTTGCGAGATTTACAATAATTATCGAGTTATTAATGACAAAAATCTGAGGAATGGGCACGCGCCGACATAGATGATTGGAGAAGCGTTGCAGGGTTGGGTTGCAGCCGCTTGGGCCACAGCGCGGCCCAGTTGATTCAGAAACTGTTGCCGGTACGCAGCAAGAGGAAGGACAACGCGTCGCTATTCGTTGTTTTATCTCGCCGCACCTATGTCTCACCGCACACCACCAACAGTTGCTGGGTCGACTGGGCCGCACTATGACCCCAGAGGCTGCGACTCTCCTCCAATCATTCATCTCGGTGTGCGCTTATTCGTCAAATTTCTGTCATTAATAACTTGATAATTATTGCAATTCTTGTAAAAATATTTTACTTTTTTTTCAGCTTAACCCAATCTACTTTCATACTTCGGGTTGGCAGCTAATTACACCCTGTATATTTTTCATTCAGGTCATAAGCTACAATACCATATACGTGAAAACTATTCCCATTAGCCTATTTCATCGAGATCCAAAATGATATATGTACGAGGGCTGTTTGATCAGTGACATTGAAATGAAAAAAATTTTTTACCGAAATTTGACTTATTTTTCGACAATTTATACTTCTTTTAGTTCGATACACTTTTCCCAACGGTTGTCAACGGTTTTCCAATTTCTTTAAGCCTTCCAAAAAAATACGATTTTTCAAACTCTGCAAAGTAACATTTGTTTTAACGTAATGACTTCATTGGATACAAATCTTCTTTTACCGAGCCATTTCTTCCTGTTTGCAAAGAGAGAAAAGTTATAAGGGCCAAATCTGGAGAACAGGATAGACGAGAGAACAGTTTGTAGCACAATTCGATGATTTTGTCCATGGCAATTGCAGACATGTGAACTTGTACATTGTCACGGGGGAAAGAAATTCTTTTCGTTATCGCTTTTCTATCAATTCACCATGAAATCAATCCAATAAGGAAGCGTAGGTTTTTCTTTTTTCCAGGTAGTCGATAAAGATTATGCTATGCAAATCTCAAAAAATTTTGGCCATGACCTTTCCGGCCGATAGAATCACATTTGTCTTTTTCGGAGCCCTTTTGCCAGGAAAAATCCATTATTTTGATTGCTCTTTCATTTCTAGAGAATAGTAATGGATCCATGTTTCATCAGCAGTTACATATCACCGCAAAAACTCACTTGGATAGCGTTTAAATATACACTGCTTCGAAATAGTCATGCGATTCCGTTTTTGATCAACTGTGAACAAACGCGGTACTCATCTTGTTAATAGTTTTCTCATGTCCAAATGTTCATACAGGATATGAAAACACGTTCGTCTGAGATGTTCACCATCTTAGCTATCTCGCGTATCTTTACTCAACGATCGTTCAACACAATATCATGGATTTTATTGACTATTTTTTCAATTGCGACCTCATTCAAACGTGCCGTATTTGAACCTTCAAAGTTTCGAAAAAGCAAAGCTTCGATTCAAAATATTCGACGATCGAAGCTTCGAAACTTTGAGGTTTCTTCGAACTTCGAAATTTCGAAAACTCGAACGTGTTTGGGAATCGAACCACGAGCCGCTATGCCTGCCCGCGTGATTCCCCAGCGCAGCTGAACTAGCGCGCCTGGTCACCTGCTTCACAGGTACTCACGTTCTCACGACCGACAGTCCGCGCATTTCGAAACCGTAGCAAATTTGTGAAAATCATGTTCATGAGATTATTAATGCAATTCAAATCCTTGACCCGCAACTCTGATGTCTCTTACTGTTGAAAGAAAATGAAAACGAGACATCCAATTTGAAAATAACCTATATCCTTCAATATAATAATTTTTATTTTCAGCGTGGGTCTTAGATTCTTCGAGCTTTGCTTTTTTATCCGCGAAATGTAGAATATATGACTGAGATGGACTAGTATGCAGTACATGCATGCAGAAACAAAAAGCGCAGGCTCGGAAACAACCGCATCCTTCGAAGCTTCACTACATTCGAAGAGTGATATCTTCGAAAACTAGTCTTCAAAGCTTCGGCATAAAGAACTTCGGAGTTTTGAAGTTGACTTCGAAGCTGCCGAAAAGTAACAGTCCTAATCCCGAGTACTCAGCATGATTTGTGCTTGTATAGCCATAACAAAATAAGCTACTTGTGAATCATTCTATGCGACGGAGCAGAGTTCCCATAATATATTTTTGACTTCCTTTCAGTTTCCGTAATAGTTTTTCCATCCAAAATATAGTGCTTTGTCAGCACACGGAATTCACTTTTTCCTATTGTAACAAAGAAACATATATCCGCTTTCAAACTTTGTCAAAACGTTTCTATCTTACAGACCTACTTGAAATTTTGTGAATATACTCAAATAAGATGGTAAATATTAAAAACAAAATTGGATGTGCGATTTGAACGCTGTTACGTCCTGCGGACTCCGCGCACTCTAGACTTCTTTTATAAATAAGGAAAATTGAATTTATTATTACTTATTATATAGCCGGATGCGCTCAGGCATGCTATCACACGACGCGATCTCTAAAAGTTTCGATGCTCCGGAAATATTAACAATCTTGAACCAACTCCGATCTTGTTTCCCACGCGCTTAGTCAACGATAACAGTATCGCGACATCCTTCTTAGAAATATCTATATTTCCTTCTTAATATTGTTGCCACGTTTTTTTTTAAACAAAAAGACTCTCGAAATCCTCTATTGCCGGATGCATCCTATCTCCTACAAAATTATCTTAAAGACACTGCAACGTATTCTTAACCCCCACCTCTAAAAAACATTCCAAGCACAGTCCTATGACCATATTTGGGCATAAAAATTAAATCTCCCAACAATTCCCCAAACCTCACTCTCTCAACAGAGCTGACGTTTTGAGAAAAGCCAAAAGGCTAACTCACTTCTCGACCGACCCGCAGCCAGGACAGAAACTTCTCTTCAGCATCCCTTCAGGGTCTCCTAACAATCTAGCCTACTAGTGGCTTAGACAGATCAGTGTTTCTCCAGTTGTTAATTATTCTGTGCAACGATCTCGTGCACATTTTTGGACCATTGTGAGCAATCCAGCTGAAACCAGCTTCCTATTCTTGGCGCAGAATTTGAGTCATCCGCCCTCACCGACATGCAGCAATTACACTCTTAATTTCGATAAATAGCACAGAACCAGCAGTAAATTATTTATATTTTCTTTTGTCTGAGTGATCCCCTTCTTTTCATTTTTCTTCTTTTCTTCTCTCTTTTCTTTTCCTTTCCTTTTTCTTCCTTTTTTCTATCCCCCTTGGCATTCCTCCTTAATTGTGAAATCCGGTGTCAGTGGCCCAATCTTGTCGGTCTCAATCGGACATAACGAACACGGAATTTTGCTCAGACCGAGATTGTTTATACATATATGTATACGTACACATTATAAAATCTTACAAATTTTATTTCATTGTGAACTTCCGCCTAATCATCAATAAAACAAGTTATTTGTAATTGTAAGCCAATCATGTTTTCCAACTAATTATTCACAATAAAAATTCTCCCTTCCCTCAATTGTCGCTCACGGTTCTATCCTAGGTAAAAGGATTCAGTTCCTTGACCTAAATAATTTTAGGGACTACCGACGTACGTCCGCGTCAGATAAAGGGGTCATTTGGATCCTTGATCTGTACCGCAGACTTGCGAGTACGTCGGAGCTTGTGAAAGCAAGCGTCAAGTTGCGTTCCTCCTCCAGGACGTAACAACGCCATTCCTTGTCAAAATTAGTGATCAAACAGCCTCGTAATTAGTCTCGGATCCCTTACACTTAAAACTTATTGTATTACGGTTACATTTGCAATTATATTTCTAACCTTATAATCGAGGATACCGGCAGCCAGAATGAAGGAAAAATCTTTTCTCTGAAACCTCGTCTCTGTGCATCGATAATCAAAGAAGCAGCTTCCCGCGGTGAATAAGGTCCAAACAGACTTGGAAATCTGTTATTTAGGAAAATGATATTACAAGTACATGTTTAGTGATTCAGAAAAAATAAATACAACCTGGAGTGGTGATAATGATATGTATAAATTTTTGGATATTATTTTAGTTTATCCCATTCAGATCTTGATTAATGATAATAGAGAATAAAATTAATTTGGTTACTTATCACTAGCAGCAATTAGAAATATCAGCACTAAAAATAATATTTTAATGTTTTGTGACGGTGTAAATGTGATGTAAGAAAATACTTAACTATGATAAAAATGTCGATTTTCTGATTGATAATGTATGAAATAGAGAAATTATTTTATATAGCTTTTGTATAAAATTTAATATATTATAACTAGCACGTATACGCTAACGCAATTATAAATTATTTACTATATGCATAATAGTATTAAAAAGATACATCCCATTCAGATCTTACCTTAGCCTAATGTTTTTGGTCAAATTGGTAGTCACTAAACCCGGGAGAATGGTAGTAAATTTAACAGAAGACTTTCCTTTAGTATACATACGTAGTTCTTCGCTAATACTTTCCATAAGTGCTGCAATTTGATGATTGTTTGTCACAATAAACGTTAAACAAATGATATAGAGATTAAATGCATTAGAAACTTATTAAAAAAATTAAGTTCATTAAAAATTCATTATAAGAAAAAATGAAACATTAAAGTCGTGTACTATTTTTATATACGTTCCTGAAATATCGTAAGAAGTTGTACAGTATGTATATATTGTTCGCAATATTGTTCGCAATATTATCTTGTTCCTTCACAATATTTATTATTGCCAGTACATTATTACTAAGATATAATCAATAAAGCAAAAACATTTTGTTTGTTTGTTTTTTAGATTACTTTACAGAATTTGTTTCATTGTACCGCACGAACTTTTTGCCCAAGAGTTTTATATACAGTGGCGTGCAAAACTTTTGAGTCACACAATTATTATTATATATTCATTTCATAATAAGTGCTAAAAACTTTACACATATATATAAACAAAATGTATTTATTTATCCACAATTATATACAATTATATAAACTTTACAAACTCTTAATAATTCTAAATACTTTATTTTTACATAATATCTTATTACAAACAGTGCAAAAGTATTGCACCAAAAAGTTTTCTTATGCATAAGAAAAATATATTATTGAAAAATAATAACAGAAAATATTGTCAACGTTTTTTTAAACTTAATACTTTGTTGCTATGCCTTTAAAAGCAATCACTGCAGCACAACGGCGAGGCATTGATGCTATTAAATTAGAAATGCGATCTTGAGATAAATTTTGCAATTAAGTTTGCAAATCTTGCCACAATTCAGCTTTATTGGAGTGTTTCTTATGTTTCCTGTACGTAGTTTAAGTTCTTGCCACAAATGCTCAATAGGATTCAAGTCCGACGATTGCGAGGGCCAGTCAAGAACTCGCATTTTTTTCGCGATGAAAAATTTTTTTATCAGTTTTGATGAATGTTTGGGATCGTAATCTTGTTGGAAAATCCAACTACGTGGCATGTTTCGAGTTGCATATGGCAGCATATGCTGTGTCAATACCAGGTATGTAAATATGAAACCGGAATTTTTGTATAGAAAATACACGTTTATTGTATAAAAATGATAAAAAATATTTTATTCGAAGTATTGCCCATCGCTAGCTATACATTTTTCCCACCTGTCTGACAATTTGTAGATGCCACGCCAAAAAGACTGTTGCTCTTTTGAGGCAAACCAGTCATCGAGCCATTTTCGTACATTTTCCTAAGAAGTGAAGCGCTGCTCAGCAAGTGCATGTCTCATCGATGCAAATAAGTAGTAATCGGACGGAGCCAAGTCTGATGAGTAAGCCTCATGCGAAGGTATTTTCCAACTAAACGCCTCAATCGTTTCCTTCACCAGTTTTGCTGTGTGTGATGGTGCATTATCATGAAGCAAAATCACTTTGTGTTGCCTTTTTTGATATTCTGGTCGTTTTTCACGCAAAGCTTGATTCAAATCGATCATTTGTTGTTAGTAGCGTTCAGTATGAATCGGTTTCGCCAGATTTTAGCAGCTCATAATAGATCACACCCTTCTGATCCCATCAAATACAGAGCATTGTCTTCTATCCATAGCGATTTGGCCTTGCAGTCGATGTCGATGGTTCGCCTGGAGTTACCCATGATCTTTTACGTTTAGGATTCTCAAAATATATCCACTTTTCATCGCCAGTCACAATTCGATGGAGAAATGACTTTCTTTTGTACCTGGCGAGCAGCATTTCGCAAGTGGTTTTTCGGTTTTCCTGCTGTCTTTCATTCAGTTCATGTGGAACTCATTTTCCCATCTTCTGAATCTTTCCCATGGCTTTTAAACGTATGGAGACGGCTTCTCGTGTCACATTTAATTGATCCGCGAGTTGTTGTTGCGTTTGAGCGTCATCCTCATCCAACAATGCTTTCAATTCGCTGTCTTCAAAATTTTTCGGTGGTCTTCCACGTTCTTCGTTTCTCACGTCAAAATCGCCACGTTTGAATTTTTTAAACCACTCAAAGCACTGTGATTTACCAAGAGCATGCTTATCGTAAGCTTCGACAAGCATTCGATGCGATTCTGCAGCAGTTTTCTTCAAATGGTAACAGAAAATCAATGCCATCCGCAAATCGTAGCTTTTAGGCACAAAATTCAACATGTTCAATGCTATTACAAACTATGCTGTTCTATGAAACTTGTATTGTTGTAAGTTGAAAATCTTTGTCAGATGTCAACAAATGGAAATGACGCCAATGACGCGGTTTGACGGTAACTACATTGACAGCTAGGGCCATTTATGAGCAAATTCCGGTTTCATATTTACAGAGCTGGTATATTTCGATACATTATAGCGTCCATAGTACCTGTGATCTCAACCAATGGACCAACTCCATTATAAGAAAATGAGCCCTAAACCACCACATTACCTCCACCATGTTTTATGGTAGGAATTTGATATCTTGAGTTATATCTTGTGCCTGTTGGACGTCGTATATACTTTCTACCGTCACTTCCGAATAACTGAAACTTTGACTCGTCAAAGAAAAGTACTTTTCGCCAATCAACTTCAGTCCAATGCCTTGCAAAATCTAATCGAGCTTTCTTATTTTTTGCACTAATTAATGATATTTTTACATCAACACGTCCTAAAAGTCCTACTTCCTTTAGACGTCGAGATATTGTACTTCGACTAATATCAGCAAGATTTTCTTCTCGTAGTTTTCGAGAAATATCCATGGCAGTTTTTCTAACATCTGCTATCGGCTTTCTTTTAGTCATTTTATCGACGTGCTTTGTAGTTTTGCAAGGTCTACCGTTTCGTGATTTATCAGCTAGACAGTTCGTCAACTTATATTTAGCAATAATCCTATTTACAGTATTTTTATCAATTAATAAGCAATTAGCAACTTCGCGAGAAACCTTTCCTTGTTGAGAAGGATTAATCACGGCTTTGCATAACTGAAGATTTGTATATGTTTCGGCATTGCGGTAGACAATAGACTGAACCTTAGTTAAAGTAAACATTTACGAAGGAATTTCATAAGAAACGCAAACAAACCGGGCTCATAAAGTCACAACAAGAATACGACTCAATACTTTTGAACACATGTAAATATTATATGACTAAATAATTAGAAACTATGTAATTTCAAAATTTTGTAACTGTACTATTATTTGTAAGAATGTTATGTCAACTATTTTATATAATTAATTTTTAGAGCAAATCAATATGTTGTCATGTATCTTAAAAAGACACTATGGCTCGAAACTTTTGCACGCCACTGTATATCGGTGAATACGTATCACTAGCATATTAGTCAATCAAAATATTCTGTTCGAAACCGTCCGTTCCGTTTGAATTATTCCAAAAAGTCAGCCATGACAGAAAAAATTCCCGAAACTTTACTCGACCCTCCCGACAAACAATGCACATTTTCAACGAATATTAGACAAAAACTGTGCCACACCTCGATGTTTAACGATAATTCGCAGCCGAGACTGATGAGTCGAAAGTAACAACCTTTATGTCCCCAACCGTACCGTCGCAGGACCAGGTAGCTCAGTGGTTTAGAGCAGTCGCCCGGCAAGCGAAAGACCCGGGTTCGATTCCCGGTCTAGTAGCGAGCGACTACCGCGCTCTCGATATTTTTCTGTCTTCGGAACGAAAATAAAATGCAGGTCCCGAATGACGGCGTCCCGTCACCACTTAAGTACGCGCCCTCCTTCTTTCATGGAATGCGTCTTTTGCAAGGTATTGAACAAGTATGTATATTAAATTTTAAGTGAAATCGTATTTTTTTAGTCACTAATCGCTCACTGAGCGATTTTCTCCGCTGAACGTAATGATTGTTGACATAATTATGTTATACTACGTATATTTAATTTCTCGCCTTTTGTTGTGAGTTACTGCGCAGGCGTGCTTCGCAGGCGGAGTAGCAACTCATCTTTCTCGAGTCGGGATGCGTCCCGAAAGTCATTAAAAAAAAATGACAACCTTTATCTTCGCGACCGTACGGTCGCGGACATAAAGGCTCGTCTACATTAGCTGTAAGAATAAGGCTGTAAGGTTGCGCGAAATGAACTATTTCAGACACGAAATGAAATATTTTCATTCGCTGACAGCTTACAGCCTTACTCTTATAGCTATTGTAGACGAGCCTTTATAGTATGTGCCAGTTTTTTTGCAACTTTCGGAACGCATCCTGACTCGAGAAGAATGAGAGTCACTGCTCCGCCTGCGGAGCACGCCTGCGCAGTGACTCACAACGAAAGGCGAGAAATGAAATATATGCGGTGCGACATATAATAATATAGACTCAAATGAAATGAATACTCCAACATTAAATGGAAATGAGGGAACACAGAACAGACAAGAATCATCCGATGTAAGTCTTATACTCCGGGGGACATCCGAAAAAAATAGAGATAAATAAACATGTTTATGTTTTTAAAACAATATGAACTTAATTAAGAGAATTAAGCTGCATTACGAGAATTACGATTCTATTATACATTTATATGTGATTTATTGTTTCAGCAACAGCAACCATCTTCTATAGCAGAAGCAATGATATTAGATACAGAAGCAGCTGTTATATAACAGCTGCTTATTATTATAATATGTCCCACCGCGTATATTTCATTTCTCGTCTTTCGTTGTGAGTCACTGCGCAGGCGTGCTTCGTAGGCGAAGCAGTGACTCCCATTCTTCTCGAGTCGGGATGCGTTCCGAAAGTTGCAAAAAACGGGCACATACTATTATGTCCGGGACCGTACAATGACGTTGGGGAATTCGCCTTAATAAGTGCCTGCAGCCAATATTGAAAGAAAAAGAGAGAGAGAGAGCCACTACTCGTTATATTTTATGTTGGTCAGCCTCGTGGAACTTTAAATACCACGTTTTGGATTTTAATTTATTGCGAGAATATTTAACTGGCGATGGCTGAAGATTTACGCAAAAGGTGCAAGAGTTTCTTTTTTTTAACACGTTGAATATATTCCCGCAGATATATATTGATATTAAATAATGTTTTGTTTCATGCACTTAGTGAGGAAGATAATTCTACGACTAAAAGAACATCGTACCTTGCTTGGGATGAATATTTCATGGCAGTAGCCTTCCTTTCCGCACAACGGAGTAAGGATCCGTATACTCAAGTTGGTGCATGCATCGTTAACAACGATAATAAAATCATTGGTATTGGGTACAATGGAATGCCCATAGGATGCAGTGATGATGTATTTCCTTGGAATAAGGGTTCCTATTCCAGTTTAGATTCAAAATATCTTTATGGTACAGTATATGATAAATTTTTTTCTACAAGAAAATCAGTATATACATAAACAAGTTTAGACCACCAGCTAAGAATATTCATTAACTGGTATTTTTAGTGTGCCATGCGGAAGTTAATGCTGTCTTGAACAAAAATTCAAGCGACTGCAAAGATTGTACAATATATGTTGCTCTGTTCCCCTGCAACGAATGTGCAAAAGTAATAATCCAGTCTGGCATACGGACAGTGATATATATGTCGGATAAATCTTCTGACAAAGTTCAGACAGTAGCTGCAAAGAGAATGTTTGATGCAGCTGGCATAAAATACAGGTATTTCTATTTATAATCATTGTTAATTTATCATTGAAATCTCAATAAAATACTAGTATTCTGACCATTTTCTTCCAGACAATATATTCCAAAAAATAAGAAAATAGAGATTAATTTTGATGATATTGATTGCATGAATCAATCACCAGAAACTCCAGTGAAATAAAATCATTGACAAAGGAAGATATCGATCTGTTGTACTTTTAATACCAGGTAACATTGTATATAATAAAGAAGTTTTATCTATATTCATGTTCATTTATTTATTTTTTCATTTGACATTTCGTAAGTTGAACCTTTTCGAGTAATGTTAATCATCAAATAGCATGTGAAAATACAACTTATGATTGTATTGCTGGATATCGATTTTCTTAAAAGATCAGACAATCATATTTACATATAAAATTTAATAATTAAGAATAGATACAAATGTAGGCATATGCCTGTTCTTTCTTCAGCCTTTACAGATCTGATAATTTTTCTTTTTCTATGAAGATGCAGGAAATAAATAAAACATAATAATATACAGAGAAAGTAAAACAACTGCAATAAGACTAAAATAGGATTAAGTATATAACATAACTGCATTTTTATGCATTTTATCTGCTGTACAAATGTAAACAGTGATGCAATTCTTATGGTATAGTAGAAATATGTAACAGTGTTTATTTTCTCTTTTGAATTAAGTGGAATAAGATAGACCAGTTTTACATGATATAATATTTTTTCATGGTGATTTAATATAATAAAAAGAAACGATTAAACATAAAGATGTTTATTTGCGCGCGCATGCGCGTGTATGTGTATGTTAATGCTTTTTATTTACATACTATACATATCCAAATTCATTCAATTAAAATATTACTCCACATATTTCTTCAGTCATGAGTATAATGTGGAAGAAGTTGAACAATGAGTATGATTATGTTATGGAATCTGAATTCATCACATAGAAGTTGTCTTCCAATTTATGACATTTTTATGACATTGCAAAAAAATTTAGAATATATACTGTCAAAGAACATCTATCTCATATTGCGCACATAATATCATGATTGATTGATTGGATATAATATTTAAAATATCACTCGTTAAAAAATGTAATTAAAATCTATTATTATGTCTTTCACTTTTGCTATATACTCGATTGCTATATGTCACAAAGAGAGGCAATGAGTATATAAATATATTATCTATGAGTATGGTTACATCATCCTATTTCATGAAATCTGATTCTGAAGATATGTAGACTATTTTGTAACATTGAATAATGTAGAATGATGTTCCTTTCATTTTACTATGTTTTAATAACTTTCACAAGATTTGCGCGTAAACTGCTACTCTTAAGAAGGAAAAAAATATGTAGTTTCCATGACAATTCTTATCAATTACGTACTGAAAAAGTAGTCTTGCAGAACAATTATCTTCATTCTGTGTGATGAATCCAATTGTATCTGGAGATGGTGGAAGATACAGCCTAAAGAATAACTCAAGCTAGTTTCTCATGTAATATTAAGTTAGATATCAAAAGGCTAACCCAGATGCTGCAACTTTCGACAAAGTTTTAACGCAATTCGCGGTTAGTATTGTTTATTTTCTAACTTTTGATGTTTGTGTGTTGTGTGTGTGTGTGTGTGTGTGTATGTGTGCGCATGTGTGTATGCCTATATACGTGATAGAAATTTTTATATTGAGGTAATAACCTCCGGTAAAGATTGGAGCAACCTCAAATAAATCTGGAAATATATTAACGTTTGGTGATTTTGTAGAAAAGATATGTTCAGATCAAAAGTAAGAAATTTAGAGAGACTATTCTTCAGTACATGCACGGTTATGAAGTTCTCATGGCGTATTCTCGATAGAACGATAACATTATTCATATCGTGTATAGTTTGTGTCGCATTTTAGGAATCAATCTAGTCAATTTGTCAGTTTAATTTAACGTGCCTCCACTATCAAGCTATCAAGTAATCTCACGACTAGCAACAAAAGCGATTATATTAAATTTTTCTTTATGACGTAGCAATTTTCTAAATTCTGTAGTAATTATTTTTCTTTTTTATAGCGTCACGAATGGTTCTTCATGCATTTACGGAAAGAATAGTTGAAAAATGATCATCTTTTGAGAACAGACGACCTTGCTTTGTAAAGATTATTCCATCGATTTTCTCACCACTTTCCTTATTTTGTGACAGCAGCCGGTATAAGATTTTTTTGTATATATATAAATGTACGTATGCGTTTGTGTGTGTATGTGTGTGTGTGTACGTGTGATTAAGGAGGTAAATATATATTATAACTAATACAATGAAATGTAAATATCTACTATATGTTTATGATTATTGTTATGACGTGTTTGAATAGGTGATCAACATTCAGACAATATTGATTCAGACAATATCGACGACATACTTCATCTGCCATCATTGAAAGAAAGTCGTAAGACATATACACTTATTCATATAGTAGTTGAAATATGTACAAACGTTATTAATAGCTCGGTAGTATCTATGTGATCTCGTATCGAAAATGTGTTTAACGGGAAGGAAACTGATAACTTATAAATACAGCGTTATTTCTGAAATTAAACGAGGTAATCGCGATATCCTTCGAATTGTATCGATATATATGTACATGTATATATATCGATATGCCGTTATATGCATATATATATACATATATATATATATATACACACATATATATATACATATACATACATATATATATGCTTTAACCTTCAGCGTTTATTAAAATTTCCGTAATTCGTCGTGTACACACGTACAATATTCGCTATCAGCACTAACGGCTCTTCGATTTATGATATACTTTGGTAGCTTGCGTATACAATACGCAGTTTATCATTCCTATAGTAACTTTCACAGAGAGACTTTCGCAAACGGACACTACTTCCTTATTGACTGCTCGATGGAATATCAGGGCTCCAATCCAAACGTAGATCATTACCCTGGACAAACATAGGAATAAAATGTTGTAATTCTAACAGGGAAAACGTTAGATCATTTTTTTTTCTTTTGTTCACTCGAATCAACAATTCACGGATGAGGCGAACCTGAAGTTATCAGTACATGATGTGGGAACGGAGTCCATCCGAATGCGGCGACGGACATGCACGGTACAGTATCGGTGCTCGATGATCGTCTAGCGTTTCGCAGCCTCTACACAGTAGAGTATTACGTAGGCATCGCTGGAAATTGTACACCTTAACGTCGAGTAGAAATATTCGCATAGAGCGCGCGTATGTATACAAGTCTTGTCTTTTCTTTTTATTCTTTTGTACCAATGTGTTAGTCTCGCACGTTTTATTTTACACACTGCACATCCCGTACACTAAAATAGTCCGCACTTTTGTCTCGATTCATTCATCACCCCCGTCCCTCCCATTTTCATTTAGCGTCGTCGTCTACGTTCAGTAGAGCGTGTCGAATTGATCGGTTTCGATAGGTTAACTAATTATTTTAAGCTATGCCGTCTCCTCTCTTCCCGCTTTGTTTCCGTTTCACGCGAAATTCAGGACCACGTTAGGAGCCGAGGGGTCTGCGTCTTCTCTTCGTATTATAATTTATTAGGATTGTTTATCCAGCACTGTTCCAGCACTGTTCGCACTACGTGAAATATCTTCGAGGAACAAGTTCGTGTATAATACAGGTCTTACTCGAATTAATTATACTCGCCAATTTCATTTCATTCATGGTCTCACCTAAAAAGTGATTTCCTTGTTTTTTTTTTATTTTTTTTAACGTCTTCTGACGCAGATCAGATGCTCTGTAACCCAGGCTCTCTCTCTCTCTCTCTCTCTCTCTCTCTCTCTCTCTCTCTCTCTCTCTCTCTCTCTCTCTCTCTCTCTCTCTCTCTCTCTCTCTCTCTCTCTCTCTCTCTCTCTCTCTCTCTCTCTCTTCCCTCCTCCTTCTTTCATTCCCTCTCTCTATTTCTCCTTCCTTCATCCCCCCTCTCTCTCTTTCTCTTTTTCTTCCATTGGTTCGTCTATGATAGCGATTCAGTGACGCTGCAACAGCGCGTGCCTGGATCAGTTCTTGATCGAGTTTTCTTTCTCTTGATGATTGGCTTTCGGCTCGGGCGGCCGAAACGCAGTGGCAAACGGGAATCGTTCGTGGCATTTCGCCATGTAATCGGCTATCGTGGCGTTGCAGTCACCAAAGTCGCTGTTGCGCAACGCCTCGAGCACCTTTGTGCAATTTTTCAATGTTACGCCGTCGAGCCCCTCGATATTCGTCACGAGGGTGAGCGCCTTCGACTGTGCCGACGGGTCCAGAACATACAACATCCTCGCGCCTTGCAACAGATGCGGCAGTGAGTTCCTGTTCTTCTTCAAGTACTCGGCATTGAGCTGCACCGCCTTCGGATTGGAGAAGATCCCGGCAGTTTGGCGTTTCACCACCTCTCCCAGCGGACCCTCTAACGGCGAGCCGCTAGTGTGCAGCAGAAAACGTACTAGACACGTATGCAGGTCGGGATTGTTCACGTCCAGCCTGTGAGCGCGCTTTATCGAGCGCAGCATGAGCAGGGTGCGACCTGTAAGAGAGAAATTGCGTGACGTCAAGCGACCGTAACTTGACTCTGAATTTAAGATTGCAGAAAAGACACGCGCTAATGTTGATCTAACGTTTCAGCCGATTCGAATACCTTTGCGAATATATATCTCGAAAGCCATGAGATGAGTCTCTATTCTGTTTGACGCTAGTTCCTGCAGGGGATGCAGGAACTTTATTGCTTGCTCCAGTGGATCCTCGACCTGAAATGTGTTTTTCTTCGATTAGTAATAATACACCACCTCATAGGACCGATTGTTCCAACCTCTTGATAAGTTAAATGATAGTCAAGTTATATGTCTGTCTTTGCTTAAATTAAAGGAAAAACAAAGATAAACATATGATTCAACTATCAGTTAACTTAACAAGAAGTTGGAACAATCGGCCAACAGAATCGCACCTCCACCCGTAAGATGAATATCCCGATTAACGACGATCGCACCCGTTTTCCTCAATCAACAAACACGGACCCGTGTTCGTCCAACACGTGTCCTTACTCTGATTTTTATATGGATTTTATATGGATTTTATATTACTGGGATTTTATACGGAGAGCCTTTTTATGTGTTGCTCTAAATTTTATATAGGGCTCAGATTTATGCAGTTATTCCTTGACTTCTTCACGGCTGAGTCGTCAATGAAGAAACCAAACTAGATAATCGTGGCACTTTGGTCATTTTGGAGAGAACGTGAAATACACGCGAGAATTAACATCTTTTCGCAAGTTAAAGAACTACCAATCGAGGATGTTCAAGCTCTCCGACCGAACAAACCTTGTCAGCAACCTTGTTAGTTTGACGGATGTATATCACTAGTCTATCAATTTCTTTCCACAACAAGCCCACCTGGTCGCAACAAGGTCACCAATTAGGACATCATGAGCAAAGAAGAGCTACACACTAACCCTTTCCAGCTTCTCCGGAATTAATTCGTCTAACGTAGGTTGCTCGAGATCAGGGTCGGCCTGCTGCCGAGATTTATTGTGCTGCTCTCTCTTCTCCTGAGCTTGCGCGGCTTGCTGTCGCTCCAGTTCGGCCTTTCTACGTTGTTTCCTCTGTTTGTTCCTCAGCTTCTTCAGCTCGGATGGCGCCAAGTTCTCTGCAACACAGACGCAGGGGTATTTGCTTGGGCGAAGAAAAACAACCGATTTGTGCACGTTGTCGCCTTACTGTAACCCACGACTCATCGAAAGCAAAAGCGGCCTTCAACGCGTGTAATCACGATTTTCTCCCGATGATTCAACTGCGCGCGAATGCGGACTCGTATCCCGTCGAACGCGCGTAGTCTTTTCTCGCTCTCCTTATTTCTCCTTTTTTTTTTTCTATTATTACGCAACTCCCTCTTCCCCCTTTCCTTGAAACGAACACGACAGAGTTTCGACAGACGGTTTCCGTTTGCCACCATCACCGTGGTCCCCTTTGCGCCGGGACTCTTTGCTTTGACGTACTTGTCAAGGTTGCGCGATACTCTCTGCGGGCGAGAGAGCAGGGCCGTCCAAGCCGGTCTCTCTCTCTCTCTCTCTCGCAGTCCTTTTTCCCACTTTTCCACCAGCCCGGTCATGCTCGGACCTACTGACGCTCGTTTAGTAGGTCTGGCATGCGTGCACGTGCCTCGTGCGCTCGTTAGTCACGTGCACGGGCCGAACGGATACCGTGGGATACGGCGGCCTCGAGTAGAAAGGAAAGCCGCGTAACAGCTCGCCGAAAACTGCCGTAAATGCCGCGCTAAAGTGTTCCGCGAAAAGCGATTACCGGAGGAACCGTAACAAAGCGACGCGGCCGGCTGCCGGTAATCGGGAGAGGCGGCGGCGGGTATAACGTAATGACAAGACACACGAGAGAAGTCCGGGTCACCTCCGCTGAACTCTTCTGAGTCGGTGGGGATACGAGCGACGCGGAGCCTCTGCGGGTCTTGATCGGTAGAGCAGACCGCTGGAAGCTCTTTCCATCACGTCGGCGCTTCGCCGACAGGAGATCCTCTGAACGCAGCGGAAACGAATAATGCGAATGATTTGGTGAAGCTGCATTCTTCTCTCGCTATATGTCGCAGAGCTTCTGGATGTTCGTGCATTATTGTAATATCGCGTAGAACGCGGCAGAGCATGCTCAGTCCACTCGATATCGAGTATTCGGAGAGATTCTCATCGTGACCGAGCGGGAAATGAAAAAGCCCGTTGTTGATAGTCGTTACTTTTGAAACTTGTCTCAAGTGAGGTGCGAGGCATTTAAATTTCGAGTTAGATGCAAATCGGTCGTATCACAATCTCTGCGATGTGATGTCGCACATCACGTATGACTCAACTGAACTACTCAGATGTGATTCTGTAATCGCTAACAGTCGTTGCATCTGAAATTCGTCTCGTGCGAGATGCGTTTCAAGTTAGAATCAGATGCAAATCAGTCGAATCACGACTGCTGTGTGTGGTGTCATACACGCCGCGTGATTCAAATGGGAAATTCACGCGCGATTTTATCAGGTGCTTGCGAAAGTTTTCGTTGAATCTTTAAATATACTTTTAATTCACAGTAAAATAGATACATGAAAAAATGATATTCATTTTAATCAAAATATCCGCCGTTGCCACCTTTTTCAAGTAATTTCCTATCCCCCTATGTTGCACCGCTCTGAATAAATGAAGATCAAACAAGATAATGTTTGGCAGAGTGGGAAGAAACATGTTTAAAATGAAAAAACAAAACATATTTTTTTATTTAAGACTTTTTATGTTTTAAATATGTAGGTTTTAAATATGTTTTAAATAAGAGCAAAAAAACATTAAAAACAAAAAACTTTTATTAAAAATATATTTATTTGATTTTTAATATAGTTTGAGCACTTTTGACATAGTTTAGAATATAGTCAATAATTTAATAAAAAAAACTTTATGTCTGGGATTTCATAAAAGATAATTTATTTTTTATTAAACTACGGTTCGAACCGTAAAAAAAAGTTTTTAAATCATTTTATTTAAATAAACTATGAAATATATATAAACAAAATGTGAATTATTAAGTAAGTGTGTATATCATATACTGCGCATATAATAATTATTTTTTAATAATCGTGCAATATATATATATATATATTTGTGTGTAATATGAAAGAATATGGAAAAAAATAGATATTTTGTGAAAAGATAAAATTTATACCATCAATAATTTTGTGTCCAAAATTTACATTAATTTATAAACACTTAAAAAATGTTTTGAAAAATGTTTAAAATTATCGGATGTTTAAAACATGTTTAAAACTTTTGTTTTTGAATAAAAAGTGTAAAGTTCATTTTTACCTATAATAAAAATGAGGTTACGTTGTTACGTATATTTAGGATGTGGATAAATTTTGAGGTTACGCGTAAGCACTTTGTTAAAAATTTACAAAGCTCTGTAAATAGACGAAACTGTCCACTCGCAGTGACTTCTACTTATTACGATACAACGAACTTCTGCAAGCATCTAATATATTCAAATCCGAGCATCTTGCTTGAGGCGAATTTCAGGCGAATGATTGGATAATCGACGGCCACACGAAAAAGTGAAGCAGAGGGTTTCGATGCGTTGCGCTAATCCTCCGGGCGTTCAGCTCCTGCTCAGTGAGCACCGGCGCTTTAATTAGCGGCGTATTAATTCGGCATTACAGCGCGAAAATCACAAGCGCTTTCCAATTATGTAAGGGACAGCCGATTCGTTATTAGAACGCGGTAGAGCCCGCCGCTATGCTCCGTAAATTCGCGAGTGGCGTAGGCGTTACCTCAGAGGATCCGCTCGATTCCTTGAAAGGCGATTCCCTCCTACCTCTCTCTCTCTCTTTTTTCCCTTTGCTCGCGCCTTTCTTACATAAGAATTATTTGCGTCTGTTATTTCGGCGGAGGACGCGCGCGTGATTTTTGCGCGATTTACGCATTTTGCGGCTCGGTTGTTTGTCTCACCGCGAATTATCTCGAGACGCGTCTCTCTTATTTTGTTTCTTTCTTTTTATACGGACGCGTCTTCTATAGTACATGTAACAATTTCAGTCAGTGTGACGCAGCACGCGTTTCCAGCCCAGAGACGATGACGAGGCGCGAATTTTATCCGAGACACGCCACGGAGACGCGATTCGCGTCTTGTTGCATTATAACTAGCACTCGAGAGGACCTCGTCAATATTTTATTTATCATCACGGGCGAACAAACCTCTTCGGTGGCTCATGCACTCGCTAAAATCGTAGGGCAATTGAATTTCAACGCGGTCTAAGTGCGACACTGAAGCCTGCAGCTTCTCTCTCTCTGTCGTGGAATTTTGTCGCGGTTCGCGCTGTTTTGTCGACGATGTTCAAAGTGAGAAAGAAACAGCAAACATATCTGAATTTGCACTGAATTTGTGTGTATCCTCCTAAGAGATTAATTAAGCGAGGACTAGGACTTTTTTATCTTTGCTGGAACGAAGGAGAACCTTGCGCGCTCACAGGAATGTGGAGCAACAGGCGGCACCGCCGGCACGCAAGCAAGAGTTTCATGCAAATTACATCCCTCCGCGAATTCACGTATACACGAATTATTACGTGCGTTGAGCCGCGTCGGTGCGGGCGGCGGCCTGTCTTCGGGAAATCGAGCCCGTCTAAGATCTCGCCGAGGGAAATCCGTCGCAGCTTCGATGGTCGCGTTCCTATGCAAATGCGACGCCTCGGCTGTGATTTTCCCGCGACCGTCGCTGGCCATTGCGTTAACTTAATTACAGCCGCGATGAAGGAGATTCGATTCACCACCGTGCGAGCAACCCCCACGCGCTCGATTCACGCGAGCGTGGTCGACGTCACGCGAATCAAGTCAGTCTGCCGGCTCGCCGTTGTGTTCGCGAATGATCAACGCTCCCACGGGATCTCGTCGGGATAATCCTCGGAAATATCGCGCGGCTATCGGTGTTTCCGCGGCTTATTTGCAGGATGCAACGCGGAATTCGCGCGCGCGCGCGAGCGCGCGTACTTTCTTGTCCTCCGCCTCGCGGATTCCGATACGCGAGAAACCGCGACGAAACTGTAGACTACTCTCGAAGTCGCTCTCTAAGTCTCTAAGTCCCTTGGAGTAAAAGGGCAGGGTCAATAAGGGTGTTCTCCCCCACAGGATTCTTGAAAAACAATATTTTTTTGTATTGCATGATCATTAGGAATGTCAAAAATAATCATCAGATGAGAAAAACTCGATCCGTAGAGTCAAAATTAATTAATTAATTATTTGCCTTTAATTATTAATTAATTAATTATTAGTCTTTAATTAATAATTAATTAATTAGTAGTCTTTAATTATTAATTAGTTATTAGTCTTTAATTATTAATTAATTATTAGCCTAAGTATGTCACTATGCTATCTATGTCCTTTTCACGACTATATAATAAGTGGACTAATAAAATATTTTCGCTCATTGTACTTCCCTCTGCCATCATTAACTTCAGACTACCATATACGTCTTCCTCGAGATGAAAGTAAATAACGAAAAAATTAATTTTTTACTACTTTTGAGATATGTAGGTGCCAATAACAAATAGGTGATCAGTATTAGTTGTCTACGGACTTAAGCCTCCACACCGCGCTAAGGTTGTGGTCATCGTAGAGGTTTCATTTTTTTTTATTTTGTTTTTTATCTGGCCTTTTATTTTTCGTTTGTTCCTTGTTTTATCTTTTGTTGTTGTTGTTTTTGCTTTGGACATATCAAACAATACGACTCGTGATTTTTAAGCATCGTCTGATGATGATCGATCGGAATTCGGCGATTCTTCACTCTCATTCTTCATCTGTCTAGTAGGATAAATAATGAGCAGCGGCATCTATATTATTTTCAAAACCTGTTACTGGTGTAAAATGATGTTAATATGATGACGCAGAGAAGTATAATGAGCGAAGATATTTTACCAATCTTTCGTCCGGGCGACACGCGTGAGCATGCAAAGTATAAACAAGAGATAACGAGATGCAGGATCTGTTACTTTCTTTGAAAAATTTTCCTCGGAACAAGAAATTCGAGTCTTTGGGAGTCCTCAAGTCACCTCGATCAATTCTTCGCCAGTAAGAGATCTTCATCTTTAAGAGCAAAAGCATCATGCAGCTTCCTGAAAGATGGGTC